TAATGATATAACAAAAGAGTTTCTTATCTTTGTCCATGTGTTTTTTCTTCTCCTTTTTCTTTTTATTTTTTGATTTTCTACAACAATAAAAGCCTTGGTGCAATTTTTCAAGTAGCTAAAATTACATTTTAGTCTTTCTTTTTTTTTTGCATTATCTCTTCTTTCTATTTACCAACACTATTAAAATAAATAAATAAAATTACATTTTACTTTGATCTTGAAATTGTTTTTGTCGGGCTTAAGAATTACTAAATCTTTCATATATATATATATATATATATATATATATATATATATATATACATGTTATTGCAAAGATGTCATGGTAATTTATAATAAATGTGAACCTCATTTGGATTCATAACACATATACTACAATCTTTCATAATTATAATTATGTCAGCTCTATCCCAATTATAAAGGAATTTTCGGTTGAGTTACCTGAAAAAAAAATGTCACAATAACAAATAAATATTGAGTTAGAAAACACAACAATCAATTATTTAAATTAAGTTAAAATTAAATTTAAATTATAATTGATTAGAATAATATCTTCCATTTGAAATATTGAATAAATATTTAATATTTAAATAAAATAATAATTTATTATATATAAATAAATATACATATAAAATTATGTCAACTAAAATATATTACATATTTATTTTTATTTTTATTTCAATTAAATATGAATCAATCAATCAACTTTAGTTTTGTACTAAATTAATTTGTTTTTCTCATAATAAGTTTTATCTTAAATCAAATTACAATATATTTTTATTATTTAATATACAATTGATGAGAAATACTAAATTGAATTTATGTATAGTTTTATAATCTATTGAATTAATAAAAATAAATATTTTTCAAATTAAATCGTGTTATTAAATTAAAAATATTAATGATATAATAATAATTATTATTTTAAAAAAACATAATAATAATAAAATTCAAATAATTTAATATTAATTTTTATAATATAAAAGAGAGACTATTATTTGAAAAACAAAATATTAGTTAAGATACTCTCACTTATAGTTCACCACATATATTTTATAATTAAAATTAATTGATATTGATATGCGAATTACATTTTTTTCATGTTATAATATTTTTATTTTTTACTCACATCTTTGTTAATTTCAATTTAAATTTGTACTTTACTTTTCTTTATTACCTTATATACAATTTTTATATATTTTATAAATACATATATTTTTTATTTATAAAAGTTATCTAAAATTTTTTTTATTTGTTGAAATTTTAATTTTAAGAGTCTTAAGTTATTAATATATATATATATATATATATATATATATTATTAATATATTTTTTTTACACAACACAATAAAAGTGTTATTTTAAAATAAATTATATTCTAAAATTATTTAATATTATTAAATTTTTATTATTTGATGTATATTATTCATAATTATAGAGTTAAGTTAAAATTATTTTAAAAAATATTATTGCAGCATCAGAGAATATGTAATTTACACAATTTTAATTATAAAATATATGCGTAATCAATTAGAACATTGAGTATCATCTCTAGTATATGTAATTTATATAACTTTTAATATTTTCTTATACTAAATATAAAAAATTCATGCACAATAGATTGAATTTTTTGAATACTTCTAATATCGTTTCCCTTAAAATATAGAAGAACATATGAATATTTCATTGTCTTCTAAGTCTTGAATATTTAGTGCAATACTTTTCATTTTGAGTTTTACTATGCATGGATATGCATTATTCTTTTTTACTCAACTTAAACTTAAAATTTTTTAATCCAAAATCTGTTACATTTTAGCAAATATATCAATAACAACGAATGGTTGAAATAATTTATAATTTTTGCATTGACTAGTGAGTTTGTTACTAATTAAATAGTGAAAACTTAACGATTTTTTTTAAACTAATTCTTTAATAAAATAAAAAACCTTAAATTGCTATGAATTGATGATAATATTCTTCAGATATAGTGAAGCCTTTAAATTTCTTATTTAACAACAGTAATAAATTTTTTCTCTTGAACTTGAAACTTAAGAACACTCAAATTTACATGTTACATAAAGTAAAAATGTATTACTTATTCAATAATGTGGATTATTGATAGTTGATGATTAGGTGCAAATAAATAGTTACATCTTTACATCATTTTTTTTTTCACTTGAAAATCATGTCTTTAAAACTAAAAAGTAATGTATATAATTTGAAAATCAAGTTCTTATATCACTTGGTACCAAATACATTACATGTGAACTAGGGGCAGATCTTGTGTACGACAGGGGAGAGTCACAGCTCTCCCAAACTTTTCTCAATTTTTTTATATATATATTTACATATTTTTAAATTATATTTATATTATTATATTATTATTTGTTAAAAAATTTAAAAATCAAATTTCATTCTTTCTCCAAAAATAAGCTTTTTCCACACGTTTTCTTATTCGAAGAATAGTGACAAAACTTTATTTTTCCTACAAGTTATTGTTCCAAAATGCAGTACGCAGGCTCTCCACTCTTGGATCTCCTAATCTCTATTCTCCCATCTAGTTTTTCTTTCAAGTTCAATGTTAAGCTGTTAACATTAATCCTCATAAAATAAAATAAATTTTTTTGAAAGTATAGGGTGAGATGTTTGTATAAAATTGATGTTCTGCATTTTTTTGGTTCTCTTCTATTTTTTTATGTTGAATATTTTCCTAATACTAAATATAATTATTTTATGAAATGACTAGTAAAAGATAGTAATTTTTTTTGGATTTCATTATCATAGATATTTGTTTTAAGTAGAGGAAATGATGAATACTGTTATTTCTTTTTCTAATTAGAAAAAAATAATTTATATATAAAAAAAGTTAATTTGACACTCCAAATTTTTTGTCCAAGTTCTGCCAAATCAACATACTTGTCTATAGTTCTAATTTTGTTTCTATAAAGCCATCACAAGCAAATGGATTGTAATGTTGTAAATGTTACAATGCAAACTAATTGTTTCATTTTTTTTAATTATTTAAATTATTTACTATTAAACTTGTAAATATATTTCAAGATGTTGTGCAAAGAACATGTGACCTAAGACCTAAGATAGAACTTGGGTGTTATTGAGTATGCTAAATAACATTAACTAACTTATGTATACTATTATCATAATCAAATGTAGTGTGTTCTAATTTGTTATTGATTGAGTACATCTTGGAAGTACAAAGATCACTCCGAACAAGTTCTCTAGATTGTTTATTCATTATTCAATGATCTATGCATTAAGATTTTGAATCATGACCCTTACATGCATTATTCTACTTTTATTTTAATTATGTTGCATTTATTATTTACAAATAATTTGAGTTATTGTTAATGGATAAATGTAATATGATTCATTGAATTATTCTAGCTAATCTTATATTAATTTGTATCTCACTCCCTAATATTTATTTGTTTTTGATGAAATAGGTAATTAACAAGAACATAGAGTGAGCCATTAGGCTTTATTAAGAGAGTTATGTATTATATTAGATTATAAACTTTAATCTTGTTATAATACAATGGGACACCTAAATCTCAGACTTTGTACTATATTTGATTTGTAAAATTGTTTGCAAACTTTATGTAAATTACTTCCTTAAAAAAGATTGAAGGTATCTGATGTTTAAGTCAATTTTTATTTTTACTTACAAAAGTTTCAATGAAGATAAAAAAAAATTGTCTCACATTTTATTAACAATGCAATATTTTTTTATAAATAGATTATTAATGAGTTTTAGGTGTCAAATTTACTTATGGTGACTCTTTTAGTTTTGTCTCTAAGTTCTTATTCCATTGCTTTTGTGATGACAAGTATTTCTACGTCTAGAATGATAAGTGGTTTAACCTAAAAGAATATTATAATATTTTTATTAGGCTTTGTTCTTGCACTTTTTAATTTACTCATGCCACTTAGACCGAGCAAGCTCTAAATCCCTCATTTCTTTAGTCATCCAACTTAAACCCTAAAAAGATGTCATGGAATTCTCAAACTTTTTAAGTACTCGTGTGTTGCTTTCGTTTTTTTCTTCATTTTCTCTAACTAATGATATAACAAAAGAGTTTTTTTATCTTTGTCCATATGTTTTTTCTTCTCCTTTTTCCTTTTATTTTTTGATTTTCTACAACAATAAAAGCCTTGGTGCGATTTTTCAAGTAAGCTAAAATTACATCTTAGTCTTTCTTTTTTTTGCATTATCTCTTCTTTCTATTTACCAACACTATTAAAATAAATAAATAACTAAATTAGGCATTGCAAGTTTTAGAAATTTTTTTTTTACCGATTCAATCATAAAAATGCATTGTAATTTAATTTAGACTGATTTAAATAAAATTTGTTATCTAATCTAATTTGTTCCTGTTGAAAAAATCTAATTCAATTCTTATAATATTATTTTTAATTAATTAGAAGGAAAAAAAATTGTAATATCTTCTCTATCATTTTGAATTAAAACTTATTAAGAAAAACTAAAATGTATCTTAAAAAACTAATAACAAAAGGAACTTCGTTAGTAAAATCATTAAAAAATAATTAAATATTGAAATAAAATATTGGCGTGATGTTATATAATTTAAAATTGGAGGGGCATAAGCAAATTTGCAGTTACAAATATTCCTACAATTTTGGACACTAAAGAAGTCTGAAAATGAGAAGGAAGGGATGAACAAATGAAGCTGGCAATAAAAATGAGAAAAATGAGGAATTATCTAATGTGAAAGTGATGCGTACGCGCAGAAAGCAGCGATCAAAGTCAATGAAGTGAGTTGGAGCGGCAACATCACGAAAAGGGAATGCATTTGAGGAAGCTTCCTCGAACTCTATGCTCCCCTTTTCAGCTTAAATTCATACGCGTTCAATTTTTTTCAACATTTATATTTAATAACTGTTCCTCTTTCTACCCTTTCATTCCCAAATTTGCATTCTTCGATTCCAATTCTTTCTATATTCTCTTCTCTGTTCATCATCATGCTTCCATTACGGTGCTTTCGCCTTTCCTCTGTTCACGCGAGGTGTAACAGAGCTCCCATTTTGCACGAAAGCTTCAAGGTGACTTTTGGAATCCCTAATTTCACATTTGCTTTCTGCGTAACTTTCTCAATTTTATCCCATTTTATAACGAGATGTTATGTTTCAGAGGTATGAACTAACCGGCTTTCGATCGTTATGTACAGGTATGTTGAGCTTCACCTTAGTAATTTTATTTCTTGGGTGTTCTTACTTAGTTTTAAATTGTTGCAAAATCATTAATTTCGCATCAATTTATGAACTTAATAATTAAGTAACGTTACGTAGCACAACTGTTGTTAGGTAAATTTTAACACTTTAAATAGATAAATAAATGTTCAAACTGGCACCTATCACATCCAAGACATTATTTTCCTCGATTCGACTAATCTCTTGGAACTATGTATATGACATTTAGTTTAACATTCGTTGTCTCCTTTCCCAAAATCAGTCTAACATATTCAGTCATTAATAATTAGCAACTAATTTAAATAAATTTTTTTAGAATTTAAAAAAAACAATATAAAAAATAATTAAAAAAACTTTTATTAGGTAAAATTAGCTTATACTTCTATCATTTTTTCTATCAAGATATGAAAAACATGTTCAACTTCTACATTATAGTTTATTTTTATGATCTTGTTTACATAATGAACAATAAAAAGTTATAAATAAAAAATAATAATTAATATCTTTAGAAAAATTAATATTGCACGCTCTTTTCATAATTTTTTATGCATATTTTAATATAACTTTTAATTAAAAATTATTTAGTAATTCCTTGGTTATTATCTTTAAGATACTTGTTAGTAAGAACTTTAAAATATGTTACATTAAATTTAACTAATTATATCATTAAAGTTATTTAATTAATTAATTTATACGACTCTTGACATAATTGATTTATATGTTTAATTTTGACACATTAAGTTTGTTTTAGCTTTAACCATTATTTATTCAAAAGAGGCTGTAAAATTCAAATTTCTCGTATAATTTCTTATACGAACATTAAAATTAGTAATGAAACTATAAATAATTTATTATTATTATTATTATTACATATCCTCATTTCAAAAGCACACCTAAAAGGATAACTTTTTTTATCTATAAAAAAAACATTTTCATATTTAATTGGAGTGAAAGTATAATTTTTAAGACTTTTTAAATATATATTTTTATTATTAATTAAAATTTATTAAAAAGATGCATAAATTTTATTTCTAATTTATGGAGTCTTACTCGGAGTTTATAATTTTTAAAAAAGAAAAATTCTTTTAAAAAATATAAACAAAGATGGTCTAGGCTTTTATGACTTTTCGGAGTAAATTTGGAGGATAAAATTTGGCATGTTGTGGTGCTCGAAATTTGGTTCAGTGAATTGACGAGGCAATGTTATACGGAACACTTTCTGAGAAAAATAACGAACCCACTTTACACGGCCTCTTTTCTTTTATAATGAAAAGCCGATTTCATCTTCTCTAGTCATTTCAGAAACCCGAACACGCTCTCTCTCTTCTTTGTAGATTCAGTGAAAATGGATTCAAGAGCAAACCAAACTATGGAAAACCAAAGTACCGTTTTATACCAAAACGTCGTCGTAATGAGGCACGGCGAGCGCCTCGATAACTTTGAGCCCACCTGGGCCTCCACGGCGGCGAGGCCCTGGGATCCGCCACTGGCCCAAGAGGGTCGGGTTCGGGCTTTCGAAACGGGTACGAGGCTCCGACAAAGTCTCGGGTTCCCCATCCACCGCATCTTTGTTTCACCTTTCCTCCGCTGCCTCCAGACCGCCGCTGAAGTCATCGCCGCCCTCTCCTCCGTCGACGATGGTTCCCGCGACGGTGTTAGCAACGAACCTTCGAAAGTCAAGGTCAGATTTTGTTTGATTATTTACTCATTAAATTCTTTTTTATCAAAATATGACGTTTTGTTCAGTATGGTTATTGGCTTAAAAAATTCATAAAAGTTAATATGGGATTGGTTTAATTTAACCAATGCTGTTTGAGATTAATTTTTATTTTTAAAAAACCCTCCCAGGAAAAAATAAATAATTATTTTATAAAATAAGTTCAATTAAACATGCTTATTTGAAATGAAAAAATTATTTTTCTTAACATTTTAAGAAATATTTTTAAAAATTGTTTATTTCAATTTTATATTAAAGCAAAGATTTTTTTTTCTTTTCTTTTTACAAATTTTCGTTAATTTGATATTCTGGTCATTTATGTACTCATATGTAGCTTAAGCGTTTTTTTCCCCTCTAATTTGATAAATCTTTAGTGTCAGTTTTCCAATATTTTTCAATCAAATTTAGTTCTCCATGTTTTTAATTTTAGAATCATGTCTCTTTGTTATTTTTCTGTTCACATAAGCTTCCCAAATGCCTAATTTTTTCACTCAAATAATCAGATTTTCCTGAGGATTTTGTAAGATGATTAGTTATTTAAAAGGTTCAAAACTTTGGAAGTTGATAAAATTCAAAAAAATTTATAACCTTTGAGATTAAGATTTTGAAGGTGAAAACAAAAAATAAATTCATAAATTAGTCTTTAAGTTATATATAAAGGATGTTTTAGTCCTTAATTTTTTTTTAAAAAAAATTGTCCATTTTTTTTTTTTTTGAATTGTCACTTGCTTTTCAAAAACATCACTCATTTATCGTTTTTACTTCATTTTTCACTATATTTTGGAGACACAAAAAGAAACTAATGTTAATGATGTTTTAAAACCTTAAAAATCAGCGGAAGATTTTAAAAATTTAACAATTAAAAAATTTGAGTTATAAATCTCAAAGTCTAGATTTACTATGTATTATTTGGAGATTTTTAATTTTTGGTGGAATGTGATATTTTAATAAATAGATTTTGAATAAATGATTATTTAAAATAATATAGTAGATTTAAATCATAGAGTTTTTTAAAGAGAAAAATAATATTTTAATTTCTTTATTAAGAAACTATAAAAATTATTATAAGAATTTTATAAATAAATTTATTTGATTCTTTTAACAATTAATGTTTAAAAGTTATATATACTTTATTCACTAATACAAATATTGAGTTTATAACTTAACTTTTTTATTTAAATAATGTAAATTAAAAATAAATTTTTTATTTAATATTTTTTTTAAACTATTTTTTTGTTCGGAGTGAATTTAGTTTAGGCACATAATAGAAATTTTGCTAATATAAATAGTAAAATCGTTGAATTTTAATTTTTTTTAAAAGTAAATTTTGTTACTAAAGGCATAAAATATGATAACATATCACTGTATCAAAGAGTTTGAGTGAGTTGCACCAATGAAAAGCTAACAAATGTTACAATAAATAGCGCATAACTTGTTTACAATGACACGTCACTATTTAAATAAATTTTACCATAAAAATAATACAAATTGTTAAAAAATACCATGATTTTAGCAAAATGCATGAATAATACAGTAAAACTTATTTATCTCTAGAATATTTTCACGTAGATACATATTATATATATATATATATTTTTAACATAATTAATAATATAAATATCAACTTTATTATAATAGTTTATATTCTTAAATTATTATTACATCGTAATGAAATAAATTTAAATTTATAATTATATTTTTTATAAAATTATAATTCAATACAAATTATTAGTACTTCTGAATTACAAAGGTTCAAATTAGTAATTTAATTACCACAAATTATTAATTATATTATTTATTAATTAAATATATTTTGTAGTATTATGTTAGTAATTTGTATGTAAATATAAGTAATATTTTGTTTAATCATGTTATTGAATTTAAATAAATTTAATTTTGTATTGTAGTTAAGTTAGTAATTTGTATTTTTTAAATTAAGAAGTACTAATTATTTGTATTGAATTATAAAACAAGATTTTTTAATGGTTGATACTTGTATAAAAAAATATAAATATAAATTTATGTCATTATAATGTAATAATGATTTGTAGGTAAAAATATAAACTATTATGATGAAGTTGATATTTGTATTATTAATTATGTTAATATATATATATATATATATATATATATATATAGGTAAAAATATCCAATATATTATTTGTACATACTGTTTATGTGTAATCATCAAAAAGTTGTTCACAGTTTATAGTGACACGTGTCATCAACAGAAAGTTGAGCACCTATCATGGTGACATATGTTAGGTTTTCACAAATTATGTCATTTTTACAATGAAACTCACTTAGTAACACATGTCATCATAAAAAAGTTGCACATTTTTTATAGCAAAATTTCCTTCTAATTTTGCCAATCATATGACGAAATTGTGAAGATAGTAACATTGGCAACATCTTGCATATTTTGCACTTTTGGTGGTAAAATTTATTTTAAAAAAATTAAAATTCAACAATTTTACCAATCATATTGGCAAAACTTTTGTCATGTAGCCAAATTCACTTAGACATGAAAATAGTTTGAAAAAATATTAAATAAATAATTTATTTTTAATTTATATTATTTAAATAAAAAATCCTTATAACTTATTAACTTAATCAATAAGTTAATAAAATTATTTGGTAAAAATAAAATTAAGACAGCATGGAGTAGTTTAGTTATCAATAATTTATGTCACCTTTTTATCTTTACAATTTAAAAAATTTACACTCATACAATAATTGAACTTTTTTTATTCATTTAATATATTTTAATTAGTTGAATTATTAGTTTTATTAAACAATTTCAATTCAGATTGCTACAATTATAAATTTTCAGGAAAAGTTTTTAGTTAGCTTTACAAGTACAAGTTACCATATTAATATAAAATATCTTTTACTTAATATATTTGTATTTATAAAAACTTTAAATTTTTTAAACTTGTGAGTTATAATAAAATTTAATACTTTTAACAAGTTTTTTTTTCTCTTACTTATTATACACTAAATTTTTTATTTAATGGCTATCGTAAGTAAAAATTTACTTGCTAAAATATTTTATGTACTAATTTAAAATTCTATTTATACTTTAATTCAGAAGAATTTATTTTTTTATTGACAAAGAAATTAAAATTGTGTCTTTCAATAAGAAAAAAAATAAAAAATCAATCTAATCCAAAACGCAGAATATTAATTTAATTTGAATATAGTTTTCAAACAAGTCCAGTATAAACCGCAGATAAATGAGGATGGTTCTTTTTCTATTTTGTTGAAATTACAAGAGGAGGCTAAAATCTACTGTGGGGGAGAGGGGCAGGTTAGGTAGAAGATGAAGCTGCTGTTGCAGCAAAGACTCAAGACTTGTTTGACAGGAACAGGATACCATAATTTTTTTATCCTATCCTATTTTTTTAGTATTTATTTAAAATATGACATTCATTCTTTTTTATTTTAAAAAAATTCTTGTTAAAATAAATAAAATAGGATAACATAACTATTTAATTTATTATTTTGATATGAATCAATTACAAAATAAAATAAAAGTCGATATTATGTTACTCTTATAATATATTTTTTATTTACTCTTATAATATATTTTTTATTTACTCTTATAATATATTTTTTATCTAACTCTCATGTATATTATTCTTTCTGTCATTCTATCCATAACATCACTGTGAGTCTTGGACCAAAATAGTTCTATTTGTTATTTATTATTATTTATTTGCGGATTTGGTGTGGAGAGGTTAATATTAGGTCTAAGGGGAAGAAAGATAGGAGATTGTTGGGCTAAAGGGGAGCTTTTAATCCAATCTCACGTTGAAAAGTGTAAAAAAATATTATAAATATAAAAATTTATTTTATGTTTATTCATTATAATAACTTATAGTTCTTTACATATAATAAAGACTTAAATAATTGTATGTTAATAAGTTAGAATTTGTAATTTTATATTTCTAAAAGTTATATTTAAAAAATTTGTAATTTTATTTAATAAAAATATAATAAAGTTATGTTGAAAGTTCTAGGAATGTGTGTTATTATTATTTTATTTTCTCTTTTTAGAGTATAGAAAATGCTGAAAGCTCATCTTATTCATAACAATAGTATGAATAGTATTAGAGTCGATGATTTGTCCAAATAGTCATATAATCAAACTTTTGCTTAGGAATAAAGAGAAATAAAAGAAGAATAATAAAGTCATTCTTTTTATAAGTTATAAAAAAAGTCCTGTTAGTTAAGAAATTCTGCTGTATGAAAGGATTGCAGCAGAATTTAAAAAACTAACAGAAGAAAGATTGATTAAGTGAAAAAATGTAAGACTTTAGTTGAGAGGATTAAGGAAATAGGAAAGGAGTTAAATGCATTGTAGGAGATTCAACCTATGCATTCACTGTTAATGTCACACTTCAACCATCTTAACTGAAGGAAAAAATGGTTTTGTTTTATTTATAGATTTGGATTTTGGAGACTTTTAGGATCAGTTCAGCTTCCCTTGGGCGTTTGAGAGTTGGTTGTTGGGGAATGGGAGGAAAGGGAAAAGTTTATTGTTGTTTAGGAGTTCTTGGATGAAAGGGGAGGGTTTATAAACTCTCCAAAACACTCCAAGTTACATGTTTTTAAGATCTCGCACGGAGTTTTGTATTAATTTTCTTACTGTCTCCCTTTCTTTACATTTCAATTCCTTTTCTTCTCTCTCTAAACAAAACTTCCAAAAAAATGCACAAGTGAAATTTTCATTAATGAATTTTGTGAGAAAAACTAGTCACATTGATGGGCTGTGTGATTGATTAAAGCAGTTAAATTACTGAGTTGTATGCATCACGTCCATAAGTGCAGGTTTCCGTTGAGTATGGATTATGTGAAATGATGAATGGGGTAGCTATCCGTCTCAATGTTGCACCTAAAGATGGAAATTGGGGTTTTGATATAGCAGAGTGTGAAGCCATGCTCCCACCTGAGACACTGGATAAAAACGTAGAAAGGGTCTATAAAGAGGTATAGTATAGAAGACCAGATCATCTTCTTTTTATTTTGAATTTTCTGGCAGTTAAATATGCATGCAAACGTTACTGAAACTGTTGAAAACCTTTGTTTGACAGTTGCCCAAATGGGAAGAGCTACTTTTGCAAACAAGGGCTAGATTTCAGCAAGTTATTAAGGACCTTGCAGATAAATATCCTACCGAGAACTTGCTTCTTGTTACACATGGTAAAAATTTAATTTCTGTCCATATAACTATGAGAAAATTCGTATTATATCGGTTCTGTTATTTAATCATGTAAAAATTTACATTGAAATGTGTATTGGTTTTGTTTTTCTTTCTTTCTTTTGGTGCAAATATCTCAAAAACACTTAAAATCAAAAGGATAACTCTTAATTGTTCACAAAATATTTTCCGTTTTACAACGTTAGACTCGTAGGTATTGATATATCTAAAAAGGCATCTTTTAGTTGTGATATTTAACATGAACAGTTAGCATGAGTAGACACAATTTTTGAAGGTTTAAATATGTTTTTGATCTTTTATAAAATTTTGACATGAGTTCCTAAAAAAAGATTGATTTTATTTCTTAAGCTTTTTAAATTTAATATTTTTTTGTTTCTAGTGATGATGTAAAATAGGGCAGAAAAAAAAAACATGAAATTGTTTTATGCGGTTCTGAAGAGAGCAAGTATTGGAAGTGTGGAAGAGAGTTATGGGAAGTAGAATGGTAATTGAATTAAACTTTTGCAGGGGAAGGAGTTGGAGTGGCTCTTACTTCATTCAGAAATGATGCTGCGGTAAATGAAGTCCATTACTGTGGATATGTACAGCTTAAACGTCCTATTTTCGACAAAAATCATTCATTTAGTGATGCAGAGTTCCAATTACTTACTCGTAGTGGTGAAACTGGCGTCACCTATTTCCTTCCAAGTCATTTGAAAAATCACACCGACCAAACTTCACCATGATCAAGCATTTATCTGAAACACATGATTTTCACTTCAAGTTTGAGCTTGTATTTGGGTGGTGTTTGTCTCAAAATTTGTAATTATATTTCATTTAACAACAATTAAAAATACTAGGATCATTTTAAATCCAAATGGTAGGACAAAAATCACAAAATAGAAGTGAAAACCGATTAAAACATATGATAGTTTCGAATATTTTCATGGAAATATAATAAACACGTTTTTCACCATGAAATGAAATTTAAGTTCATGCTTTCATCAAAATCAACTACGCCTTAAAAGTTTTTGAAAATTTATTATATACGAATTGTTATAGTTTTAATTTATATTTCGAAAATTAAATTTGTGAAAGATAGATATGTTAAAGTGGGCAAGCCCATCATTAGTTTGCGTAAAAGTGAAGTTGAGTAAAGCTAGCTCGTTTTTAAAAACAAATAAAAATATATAGCCCTTATGATTAAATGTGGGCTGGCCCACAAGCCTAAGCAGGCAAAGCTTGAGGGTTGCAAACTCAAGGGAGAGTGAGGGAGGAGCTGGGTTGCTGGGGGTAACCAACCCAAAAGAGTTTAGGGTTATCAAATGAGGTTGCTTAGTTGCTAAGAAGAAGAGTTCAAATGGAGGGGAAAAAAAATAATTCAAACAACGTCCTAATCTGGCCTAAATCCACTTCTAACCTGCCTTGAGATGCTAACAAGTTCAACTAATGATCAAACTTGAATTAACATCCCTACTCTTATAGTCTAAAGAAACCCCCATTTTGTGAATATTGCAATTAGAGTAACAAAAAAAGAAAATGATTTTTTTTTCAGTGCAAAAAGGGAAGAGGTTTAAAATATTAAGATAATTTTTAATATTATTTCATGTAAAATTCATTTATGAATAATTTTTTTAATGTGTAAACAATAAAGGATTGACAAGTAATATTTTCTTTATGAAAAACTGTAACATTTAATTATATCAATACATTAAATATAGTAACTTTTAATTAAAAAATTTAAATACTATTTTAGTCCTTACACAAAACTCAAATTTTTTTATATATACACAAAAAGAGTTTGTAAACAAGTCTTAAATAAAAAAAATTCAAAATAGTTCTTGCTCGTATTTAATATAATGTTATTATCTCATATTTAAATATAACAATGAAAAAATGTAATATGTATAAGAATTAAAAGTGTTAAAAGTGTTATATATAGACGACAAAATAAAATTCATCATCAAGACAAGTTGAAAGAAACTATAGTAATTTATAACAGGTTATAAAACATGATTTACTTACTGTGATTGTAAATTAATATGATTGCAAAAATTGTCATCAGATGTTAGTGTTTGTAAAAAATATTTGAGGATTATATGCTTGGTATTTTTAAGAGATTATTGATGATAAAACTTATATGCAATCCTTTAAATCCTATTAAAATTAGAGACTAGCACTTAATTGTACTATAAGTATGAACAAATTTAATTATACACTAACTTATAAGATGAATGAGCAAAACTCTAAAAAAAAAAAAAGTTTTAACTACGCTCTCAAGTAAAAAACAAAAGTTATAGCATTTAAAAATTAGTTCACATTCTTTCTTTATAATCTTTAATAATAAAAGTAAAATACTTTTTACCTAAACTTCAAATACTATCTTATCATAGCAATAGTTATATTCACGTTAAGCTACAACGTCACATAGTTAAAATCATTAAATTATCTTTTATAATCTATTATGAATTAGCATAATATTTTTTTAACTTGTATTTGGTGGTAAATTTTATTTTGACCTCCATACAATTTTTTTTTATTTTGGTCCCTTTATGACTTTTTGTTTAATTTTGATCCTTATAATTGATTTTTTATTTTTTGTATAAATACCAAAATAAAAATTGTTACTTATAAAGATCACGCTAAATAAATTATATCATGTATAAGAATTAAAATAAAATAAATATATTTAATTATGAGATAATGGTTCTTGAATGAAAGTTAACATCAAAGAATATTTCAAAAATATTTTTTTTATTTACAAACTTTCTTTTGTATAGGAACTAAATAAAAAAAATTATAAGAACTAAAATATTATTTAAACAAATATATATATATATATATATATATATATGTTCTTATTATGCATCTTTATACACATTAAAAAATAGTTTTGCAAAAAACTAAAGTGAATATAAATCAATTTTTTGATTTCATGAAAAATATGAAAATTAATAAAATAAATTATATTAACATCAACCCTTAAAGTTTAGTTTAACCATCGAAGCATAGCAATTTTCTATTAAAAAATTATATTAAAAAAATATAATATTTTTTTAATAAAAATTTACTACTTTTAATAAAAATATTATATTCTTTAAGATTACATATAAACCGAGCTTTTCTGCAACAAATATCATTGATGTACATAAGGAGATCACAAGTTTAGAGCTAATAAAGCTTCCAATGCTGGATTATTGGACAAGGTGAGGAAGAAACTCTTCGCTCGGAAAACAATTTCTCTTTCCTTTGCCGGCAGAGTAACTTTAGCTTAGGCATTTGTGAAGAAATGAGTAGGTTGCGTAGGAACTTTATTAGAATCTTTTCCAAACAATAAAAAATGTGACTTAATTTTTTGGGATGAAATATATTCCTATAAAGATGGTGGATTAAGATTTAAAGATTTACATCCGATTAATAAAACTTATATGAGAAAAATGAGCTAAAAAATTGATAATTACAATATTCCTAAAGATATTAGTAGCCTCCTTATTTTTAATGGGGAGTGGAATTAGGATAAAATAAAACCGTTGTTTTTTTATCTAATCATAAATGTCATGTTTTATCTACTATTTTGCCTCCTAATCTTAATGCTGATACTAGTTGATTTCCTTTTTCAAATGGTAATTTAAGTTTAAGAATTGTTTATGAGCTTATTATTAAGAATGATAATAAATTTGTCTTCCTAACCCAGCTTTTTAATTTATTTGGCACTGGCCTGGACCCCAAAAAATTAGAACTTTCCTTTAAAATGTTCTCATGGTAGGATATTAACTAGGGGTAGACAGAATTTCTCTATCTGACTGAAACCGTAAAACCTGTGAAATATTTTCCTCTAATTTTTGGTGGGTTGAATCGAGTTCAGATACAAGTGAGTGGTAAATCAGAGATAATACATGCAAGCATGGTCGGGTTTGATTTTAAAATTGTAAATCCAACTATATCTATATCCGACAGAAAAACATAAAAAAATAGTTATTAATTATTTTTTATGTAATAGTGCCAGCCAATTTCTCAATCACCTTACATCACATGCATATTTTTTTACAAGAGTCAAAGCCTCTATCAGTCTATCTCTGCTACCATATGTTTAGTACATAAAAAAAAATAATATTTCATAGGTATATGAATTACATCTTCACCTCCTCCCCTTGCCCTCCACACTATACGTAACGAGAAGAAAAACACTCAACAGTGGATTGAATTGTGAAACTTATGTTGTTAGTCAACAATAAAGATGGAGAAGATTGTGGAGGCTGCAATGGCATGCCACAAAGACGGAAGAAACTGCAAGTTACATGGTGGTGGTACTGTGGCTTTGCGATGAGGGAGAGACAACGATAAGTTTTGGTCTAATCTAATTAAATTGGATTGTTGGGCTTCTTTTATCAGCTTGGCCTTAGTAAATGGCCTGCTGTAAATCTAGAAAATAGGAAATTAAATAGTTTCAAATAACTTTTAATCATTGGAATGTTGTCTTTGGTATTTCCACAATGTTATGGAATAATCAAAATTCCTAGACTTTTAATATTATATCTGAGGACTGTAGTTCTCTATCTGTCCATATAATGAGTTATGCAAACTCTATTATTTCTAATTTTGTGTCTTCAAAGCAATGTTTTGCGCTGATCTGCTAGGACTGGTGAGAGTATCATTGGTTGGTCTCCTCCACCTTTTAATAGAATCAGGCTGAAGATGGATGGTTCTGTTTGCCAGCTGAGAAGGAAGGCAGCTTGTGGGGGAATTGTTAGAGATGCTCAAGGTGATTTCATTGCAAGTTTTTTCAGTAAGTTGGACTACTGTGCTCTAATTCAAGCAGAATCAGCCTGTTACTCGGCCTTTGACTAATCAAGAAGCATAATTTTGAAAGAGTTCTAGTAAAGATGGATTCAAAATTCACAATTCAGCGGATAATATCAAAGTTAAAGAGGTCTCGGCCTTAAATCAATGAAATAAAGTGTTTACTTCGATCTCATAGAATAATTAGTTTATATGCTGATATGCTTATGTAGACGGTTTCAGAAAAGTATTCAGTGCACCTCCTAATTTAATTCCTTGTGATGAGGAGATGTCTATGGCTTTCCCAGGATGATTCCTTGGTTATTTGTGTGTTTGGGCCCTAGTGCCTCGTTGAGTATAAAAAAAAACTAACATTTCAACAGTGATAATAAATTTGGCAATAAAATGCCCTACAAGTGAACCAAGTAATATAAAGTACAAGACAATAAAACGAATCTGCAATTTATGTTTCATAAGATTGTTAGAGGGGTTTATAATTTCAAAATACCTACTCTCCTCAAAAGGGAGAATAGTCTTCATTGCGTTGACTGAGAGATATCTCACTGAAAAAAAAAAAAAATACACATATTTTCCTAGTTAACACTAGCAGGTTTTATTCATCCTAAAAATATATTTCAATTACTAAAGGACACCTAAAGGTATTCCTTTTTAGTCATTAAAGGAACATTTTCGTTAACAGAGATAATAGTCCAATGGAAAGTTCCAATCGGATGCACATAATTCTACTTTCCATTGTTAATATTTGAAACTGGTTCAAGATAAGAAGAATGCACCAAGCAGCTAATCAATTGGATGAAATAATGGTACTGCTGTTACAATGGAAGAGAACAACATTTTTGCTTAAATTGAGGGGGGCAAGTTAGATTACAATTCGTGAAATAATGGTACTACTATATAAGTACCACAAAAAGTGTTGACTGACTCCATTAAACGAAAAAAGAAATAAATGATGGCACAATGGATAGTTGCATGCACCAAAATGGCTAGCCATTTTGCTACCTGAGGGCAAAACTGAGAAAATCTACCAGTTGGATGTTTCTAACAAGCATATGATTGTTGTGTTCCCCATAAAACCTTCAACCCTTCAAACTAACACCTGAATATTTGCAATTGTTGCAGCCACCGGGGACCCAAACCACCAAATAAAGAAGACATGACTGAACCTTTTTGTCATGAATCATCCATATTCCTATCCAAATAATATACTTTAATCTCATAGAAGATCTCCAAGGTATTAAGAATCCATTAACTTCAATATAAAAATTGAGAATTAATCTCGGCAGTCTTAAAAAGACCAAGTTGTCCTAAACTTTAATAAAATAATACATGAAGCAATTAAGAACTTTCTAGACGGGGATAAAAGGTGATATATTCTTCTAATTGTATATCATCAATGACTATGAATGGAATGGGTTATGATTGAGTACCAGATATATCCAAATTATATTTTACAAATATCTTAATGATTGTTTCATTTGACAACAAAAGGTGCCAAATGCATTGTCACATTACAACATGTATAAAATTCCCAAGTTTTCAAAGAAAGTACAAAAAGATTTCCCATATTTTCAGATCTCTGTGCAATTCATCTCCCCCACCCCACCCCTAAAAAATAAAATAACATTGGTGAAAGAGTCTCCATAGTCCATCCCAACTGTTCACTCTTTATTTCTATTAAATTTTAAGGGACTTGCTAACAGATGTTCATAGAGAACTGATTTAAAAGCATTTAATACCCTTCATTAAATCCTTTAATTACTTAAAAAGAAGAATATATAAAATGCTTCCTGATATTTTCAGGATATTATATGCTTCTAGGTTTTATTTAATACATTCTACTTTCATCCAAAAATTAGTTCCTTAAGAACAATTGTTATCAAATTCAAAATTTTAACACAGGAACAGAAACACCAACCTTTGGTTTTCTCCCTTTCCAATGGTAAACAATATTTCAAAACTTCAGCAGAAAGACTATTTCACACTATTCAATTTGGAAATAAACATTTTTTTTTTATATATAAACTAAAAACACATGCTTACTTATTCTGTGTACGTGGAGGTAACCCGAGTTTTGCTCTTAAATTTGCACCTGCTTCCATGAGATCCTCCACCTATATGCAATAATATAAAGTACATGAAAATGTTCATGTTTGCATATAAAGCATCTGAGAATGATCAAGAGCAGACATATTAGAGACCGTTTGATTTCAAGAAACATTTTCTGTTTTCACTTTTAATTATAAAAAAATGCCACCTAGTTTTCATTTTATTTAATGTTTACAAAGATTTGTGCACAAGAAACAAAATGAAAACAGTGACATTTTTTTTAATTAAAAGTGAAAACAAAAAATGAAAATAGAAATGTTCTCTAAAACCAAATAACCCCTTATGTAACTGAAAAGGGGAAACAGATCCTACAGTCAGAAAAGAACATCAGTAGTTCTCTTGACATCTATGATAAAACATTTCACTAGTCATTTTCCCATAGTCTATTCCAAGTTTCCAACATAAACAGAACCATTTTCAAAAGAAGAAATGTTAAACGATGAAGTATGAAATGCAAATGCCTTATGAACTAACTTCCAACTTAACTTCTTTCATATCAATCATAACCATGTCTAGTATCATACATTTCAAGCAATAAGTTATGCATTATGATACTTAAGAGGTCCCAATAGGGTGAAATACCAAACTACCAATTACTAGTTACTATAAAGGTTTTTGTACTACATATGGTTTCTAATAATGAAATGAAAATATAAGCAGTGCAACAATGCAAGAAAGAAAGTACTGTTGAAACAGAAGTAGTGTCATTGTGTCACCAATGACAAAATCCAGACAATGGGTTCCTATAGACACACAGATTGTGCCTCTACTTTATAGATATCCAAACCGTTGATCTTTCCTAACTATGAGTATGCAATTTATATTTTACAGGTTACTCTCTAAAGTGTACCCTGCATTTGAAAGAATCTTTTAAATGAACAAGCAAAAGCATTCAAGAGTCATGACTCACAATATAACAAGCCCATATTAAATACATTAAACCACCTTGTTCATTTTGCAGATTTTGTTAAAAATCATATCATTAGTCAATAATTTTGCAACTGTTGTTACTCAAGAATCAGACAATTGATCAAGAGCTGAGTAGCTGACTGGAATGGATTATCATGAACTTAGATTGCCATAGAAGCCATGGCAGAATAATGAACCATCATGGTCTATGCACTGCTGCCAAAGTATGAAAAAAAAAAAAACATTAATAATAGGTAAATCACAGGTTCAAGGCATTTTCAGAAGTTAAATAGTTTTTCTCTTCCACCAATGATTTAAACAATTGAACAAGTAATTCTTCCAATTCAACCTCAAAATAGTTTCTTGGTAACTTTTAACACAATAGTTTCTTCCAACTTCAACAGCATGATTATCCTTTGTCAAGCTCAACCTTCCTTGGTAACTTGCATTACTGAGAAAACAGAACTTCTTCAGACAAGAAAGCAAAAAGCTAAACACAATACAAAACCCCATTTCACAATTCGCGCAGCAGGATTACCTGATCACACATTTTTCTCCACTAAAAAAACGCATTACATGAATTTCACTTCCTAATACACAACTTTCTAGAACTCACATAACATTTCACATTACTCAACATCCCTTGTTAACTTGAATTGCTCAGAAGCAGAACCTGTTTCCATCACTAGAAACCAACAAACCTAAGACCAGGTTTGGAGTTTCAATTGTAAAACCCCTAATGTTAAGAGCTCACTCACCATAATTACCCAATCACAAAAGCCCATCAATTTTTTTCTCCACTAAAACTACAATTTCATCGACAAGCAAAAAACCCATTTCATTGCAAATAAAATAAAATAAAATAAAATAAAATAAAAAGAAGCAGAATCATCCCCGAAGAGATCGCAAACAGAAGTTACAAAACATAAAACGGAACGAAGAGGAGAGTGGTACCCTGCGAATGCCGTTAGCTTGGAGGAGGACGGCGGTGGCGGAGGCAGCGCCGCCGACGAAGAGGGAGGCGACGGCGAAGGCTTTGAAAGGCATGTGGCGTGAATCACCTGCATACCCTTTTGCGTAGTAACGCAGACCCAATCCAATTTGAGTAGCGCTGGCCGCACCCCAACACCACTGGCTCCCGCCGCCACTGTCACCAACAACGCCGCCGGACTCCTCCATCTCCGTCATCATGTTTTGTGATTTTCACTTCACTCGATCACCAAGCTCAGTTTAGACCTTTAATATATTTTAACACATAAATTTTAATAAACTTTTATTCTCTACTACTTTTAATTAATATATTAAGATATTGAATGGTAAGAAGATTATTTGATTTTAATTTTTATATAAATTTTATTTTATTTTAAATATTATTTTTTAAAGGTAGTGCGCTTTTAAGAAATTATAACACATTATTTTTATAAATTTAAAAATTGTTTTAAAAATAAATATATGCTTAGACATTTTTTTATACATACTTAAGCATTTTATTATTAATATGAGATTTATTTTTTAATTAATTTTAGTACATTACCAATATAAATTTTTCATATTATTAATTAATTAAATATTGTTATAAATATTTTTTTATTATTTATCACAAAAATTAATTATTTTTACTGTTATGATAATTTATTATAAAATAAAATTTAAAAATTATCTATAATGTTATTATATTTAAATTATATTCTTTAGTTTTATTAATACTTTTAAAATTAAACTCAACAATTATATATATATATATATATATATTCAAATTTTCATCATCAATTCTATTTATAAAATAAGTTAAAAATAATAATAAATACTTTATAAAAGCTTTTATAAAGTATAATATAATTAATAAAAATTATTATTTTTTTTAAAATGTACTAATTTAATGCAATAATGTAATACAATAAATCAGTTTTACTTTAAAAACTAGATATAAAATTAATTTAACCTAAAATATTAGATTTAAAATTAGTTTCAACCAAAATCATATTTTGAACTAATTTTAAATTTAAAAAATGATTTTTTTAAAAAATAGATTTAAAATTAATTTCGTGTAATTGGATTTAAAATAGACTTGGATTGTATTAGAAGGATTTGTGCCAATCCAATCTTTGCACAAATCTTACTATTCAGAAAAAAAAAATACAATAACTACTCCAACAATATTAATGACAATGACTGAAGTAGTGAAAGTAATAGAGTTTAGGGTGTCAAAAATCATACTCATGGCATAACACTAGCAGTTATAGCCCCTCCAGGTATAGTGATACTAATAAGAAAACAATTTAAAGGTAGGAACACTTAAAATACTTTCAAGATAAATGACAAATAACCTTAATCTCCAAAACAATGATAAAGTAGATCTAGACAACAACAATGTTGATGCGAAGTTGGTTGAAGTTGTTAGTGAGCAACCATAGGACACCTTTAGTTGAGGCATATAGTTGAATGCCAAAAAGAACAATGAAGAGGAGGAACAAATTGCATAAGTAAGTAAGAAAAGAGAGAACAAAAGAGTAATAGGAAATAAGATAAAAACTAAATAAAAAATATAAATGCTCTTAAGGGGACTAAGAATAAAGTTATCATGTGCAACCTCTCCTTTACTTGTTTTTGAAGGATATTTAAACATTCATTTTCTAAATTTTAATGAAAAAAAAATTCATTCTATTCAATATCTTTATGGGGTAAAGAAGAAAAAAAATAAAAAAAAATAATTTATTTATTAGTTTTATTAAGAATAAAAAATAATGAAATGACTTTTCTTTTAAGAAAACATATTTACATCAAATTTATTGAAATGTCAAAAGTATTACTTTGATTTATGTTTCTCCTTAAAGGAGAAAATGTGTGTGAGAGAGGAGTTTGTAGGAGAATCAGTTGAAAGCTAGGAGATAGGAGGCCAAATTGTTGATTCCCACTAAGGCAACCAAATGAAGATGGAAGAAAGGGAGATGAGATGATAATGTTAGAAACCATAAATTTACAAATTTTATTTTATTTTTCATTCAAAAAATTAATTTAACTCTTACCTTGTGAGTTATAAGTTATGTTGCAAACTTGTACATCACCTGATCAAAACTAACACCAGCAATGTTAAGTATGATCACAATGTTACTTATAATAATTGTTTGTTTAAAAAGGACTAACTTAAAATAAATATAAAACATAAAAAAATTATATATAAAAAAAAGTACATGTCAAAGTTAAAATAGACATTAAAGTTAATAGATTAATATATTAATTTAACCTTTAATTATATTTTTAATTTAAATAGTATTTTAAGTTTTAGACTGGATTCACTGTTGTAAATTATTCTTTATGTATATGAAAAATTGTGTATTAGTCCTACTTGGCCAACAACAATTTTTTCAATTACTCTCACCACTTACTCTGTTGCAACAAAGCCATCACTGTCCTGCTTAGGACGAATCCCCAAACGTAACACATCAGAAATCAATTTAATGTTTGTGGGTTGATCGATCCATTGAGGGTAAGCAACCATGGGCGTGCCTGTAGTCATGGCTTCCAACATTGAATTCCACCCGCAATGTGATAAGAAACACGCTACTGAAGGGTAAACCAACACCTTCGTTTGTGGGCACTGGGCACCATGTCTTGCTCTTTGGTCTCTTCCATGAACCCTGCTAGCAGTGGCAGAGTTTTTTCTCCTTCTCGACGCTTGATGACCTAAAAAAAAGGACGATTTCTGGTTTTTAAAGCCTTCGCTATGCTCTCCAATTGCTTGGATGATAACACAATGATGCTTCCAAATGAGATATATGTAACAGAAGAAGGAACTTGATCGTTGAGCCACTCCGTGCAAGAGTCTTGTGGCTTCCACATTCAGATTCCAATGTCTTCGCTTTGATCTTGGCCTAGTAACGATGGAGGGACAAGTGGACCCACAGTTTTTATTGGGTATGGATCCTCTCCATTTCTTGCTCAGGTAGAAGGAGGTAAGCCTATTTATATAAAATAACTGCTATAATTTTTAAGTTTAAAATATAACAAATAAGAATTTTTTAAATGTATCAATTGTTATATATTTTTATTTATTATAAGAATTATATTAACGAGCCAACACTTTTTATATATTAATTTGGTTTTTTTTTTTTTTTTCTGAAATAGATTACTAATTATGCATTTGTTTCAGGGCTGTGAGAGGAAATCTAAAATTTAAGAATTAATACAAAATATTTTGAAAAATGTTACTCAGAAAGGAAAAACGTGATTCCATTTCTTTGTGCCTCGTTTGGTCACACTCCATGGTAGCAGTAATTTGCCCACCAGCAGTGAAGCTCTCCATACCAATTAATGGCGTTTCGATCTTTCCAATTTCTCGTGTGTGCTGCCAAACCCAACCACCCTTTTTCCTCCATTCTCCGGTCCCTCCCCTCTTCCCTATTCTCATCTTTCCACGCTCCTCCAACCTCGTCTCACCACCCACAACCACAACCCTTCCACAATCAAACAGGCCTCAATTCCACCCTTGACGAACGCCTCGTCCTCGACCAAATCACTCAGCTTTTATCGCTACCCAGTTACAAATCAGAGAATCCCCCGTCGAAACACTGCGAATCAGAGCCTGAAGCGATACCCGTTGACGGGTTCTTGTCTCCAGAAGAGAAACTTCGTGGCGTTTTTCTTCAGAAGCTCAAGGGTAAAGCCGCAATTGAACTAGCCTTGTCCAACGTTGGTGCTGATGTGGACGTTAATGTTCTTGCTAGGGTACTGAACTCGGGGAATTTGGGTGGTGAGGCCATGGTTACGTTTTTTAAGTGGGCAATTAAACAACCAAAGGTTCCTAAGGATGTTGGTAGTTACCATGTGATTGTTAAGGCACTAGGAAGAAGGAAGTTTTTTGTGTTTATGATGAGTGTGTTATGTGACATGAGATTAAATGGCATTGAAGGTGATTTGTTCGTGTTATCTATTGTTATTGATAGTTTTGTTAGGGCTGGTCACGTGTCTAGGGCAATTCAGGTGTTTGGAAATTTGGATGATCTTGGTGTAAAGCGCGATACCGAGACGTTGAATGTGCTTTTGTCATGCCTCTGTCGTCGGTCTCATGTGGGTGCTGCAAATTCTGTTTTTAATTCAATGAAAGGGAAGGTGCCTTTTAATGTTGGTACATATAATGTTGTTGCGGGTGGTTGGTGTAAGTTTGGAAGAGTGGATGAGATTGAGAGAATTATAAAGGAAATGGAGGATGATGGATTTTGTCCTGATTGCAGGACGTTTGGTTTTCTTATTGAGGGCTTGGGAAGAGCTGGTAGAATGGATGAGGCTGTTGAGGCTTTTTGTAATATGAAGGAGAAAAATTGCCAGCCAGATGTTGCTACTTATAATGCGATGATTTTCAATTTTGTTTCGGTTGGAGATTTTGAGGAGTGTATGAAGTATTATAATGGGATGTTGAGTGATAATTGTGAACCTAATCTTGATACGTATACTAGAATAATTACTGCCTTTCTCAGAACCAGGAAAGTGGCGGATGCACTCCAGATGTTTGATGAGATGTTAAGGCACGGTGTTGTGCCTTCTACTGGGACGATAACCTCCTTTATCAAACGATTGTGTAGCTACGGTCCGCCGTATGCTGCTTTGATGATACACAAGAAGGCAAGAAAATTAGGCTGTACGATATCAATGGAAGCTTATAAGATACTGCTTATGCGGCTTTCAAAAGTTGGAAAATGTGGAACGTTGTTAAATATCTGGCAGGAGATGCAAGAATGTGGGTATAGTTCAGATGTTGAAGTCTATGAGTTCATCATCAGTGGTCTTTGCAACGTAGGACAACTCGAAAATGCTGTTCTTGTTATGGAGGAGTCTTTGCACAAAGGGTTCTGCCCAAGCAGGCTAGTGTATAGTAAACTAAGTAACAAGCTGCTTGCTTCAAACAAAACAGACAGGGCTTACAAGCTGTTTTTGAAGATCAAACATGCCCGTTCCCTTGAAAATGCAAGAAAATATTGGCGTGCAAATGGTTGGCACTTTTAAATGGTCATGCTAATTGGCAGCTCTTACAGTGAATCCTCTTGTTTGCTTTTCACAGGTCTTTGGACCCATTTGGATACAGCTCATAAGAGCTTCTCTACTAGATTAAGTGCATTAATTAATCAAAAATAGTATTCGGATAAAATTATAAATCTGTTTATAGCTTTTGAAGAGGCTCCAAAAGAGCTTATTTTGAAGCTAATTTCCAAGTGCCTCTCTCTTTTCAGCTTTTTGGGAGGTTGTTAAAAATTATTTGGACAAAAGCACCCTTATCGAATTTTGAAATTTCAACTCATGTCCATTCTCACTACAAATGGAATCTGGTGACCAAAGGACACAAGAGAGTGGCTCTTCTTGAATCCATATATGCTATTGTCGGTTTGACGAACACATCACCATTGTCATTTGCCACTGTCATAGCATTTCTCTGCCATTTCCTCAAGTCTCTATCAGGTATTTCCTGCCACTGTTCAGTAGGTTTGAATTGTTAGTGTTTTTGGGATTTTGGTATCTGGTTGCTTCTCATTCCTGCTGGTTTTGTGAGAATTTTTGTCTCCTACCTGATCGATTGAGTGTAGTTGCAACTTGCAATCTGCTTTCCCATTTTATTTTATTTTTTGTTTTTGGAACCTTACAAGGTTTGAAATTGAAATTCTATGGAGTGTTTTGAAACAGTTTTGTTGAACTAGTTCAGGAATTTCATTGCGATAAAAGTCTGTCTTAAGACGTTTTCAGATTTTGCTAGACAAACAAATAATAGATATGTGGTTCTGTTATTGGAAATTGATCCATTCCACAGTTTCGGTAGTGGCTGGACAGTGTATAAGTGGGGTGTGAGTACTCTTCAGTTCCAAATCAACTGCAAGAGATCCAAGCCATTAAAATTTGTGTTATGACAAAATTTATATCAAACATAATTTCAACCATCAGATTTCATAACTGTCTGCTGTGTGCAGTTGGTTTACAACTGTAGAGTATCGTCTTCCTTATATTTTCCTTGTTCTTGGTAGAAGATGACTTTAAATGTGTTTGATAGCTGTCATCAGTGAATGTCTTTTTGTTTATATATCTTGATGTTTATGGTTTTGATGGGCTTGCCTTTATTGTTCTTATGAGACCTATGGGATATGTTTTCGCCATTGTTATCAATCTTAGATAGTGGTGCATAGCGGTTGACTCCAAAAATGCTGTAGCAGGATGAACATTATTCTAAAATTTTTTATATAAATTACATAACTATGCTTTATATATGAATGGTATAAAATAAAGCCAAATACTAAAATTCACGACATTTTCTAGTTAAGCAAAATATACAAGTATATAACAACAAAAATCAAGAAAATAAACAAGTTTAAGCCTCTAACTCAATGCCTTAAAGTAACTAAACATTAAAGGCCAATTAAAACTAGAACTGAACAAGGAGAAATTTAGACAAAATAAAGAAAACAAAATAGCTGAAAACTGAAACCAATAAAACACAGAAAAAGACCAGAACAAAAGAAGAGAAAAGGAAAATGAGAGGAGAACAACTTGCCAGACAGTAGCAAAACAAAGGGAAAAACACAGAGACTCACTGAAAAGCCACAAGAGAACAGTGGGTTGAAAGGTTACACAACACTAAAAGGTGAGAGAAAAGAGGTTGCCAAAAATGCTAAGAGGCACGATCAGTTTTTTTAACCATTTAAAGCCCTTTTTGTTTTTGACCCTAACCCCCCCAAAATACACTATACATGGTTCTGCAATATTAAGAGTTTAGGACATCTTTAGGTTTTTGAAAAATTTCAAAGTAGCGGCCAAGATGCATGCAAAAAGCCACGATTTCCACTGCTATAGCAATATGGCCACGACACCAAAATGCAGTGTGACGAGCTTGAAATAGCAGCCGGCCAGTGATGCAAAGCTGACACTGTTATAGCGGTGCTATCATGTACTATTCACAACCTAGATTTTTGCTGTATTCTTCAAGTTCATAATTTAAATTTTGCACATGCAACTAGAAATGACTGTTTTTAAGGATGTATATTTGTGATCAGAAAAGCTTAGAAATTAGAATTGTTTACTTTCTATAATGATAGGATGTCTAACTTGCATACAATTGTGTTTGTAGGTATCTTTGTGACCTTGTGTTAGTGCATACTATAAATTGATAGACTCTTTGTTTTGTGTAAGTGTGTATACTAAGTTATGAACTCTTGAGTTTCTTTAACAAGATCAAATAGACAGTTGCTAGACAGCAAGCATTCTCTATCATTAAGTGTCGCTGTTTATTAAACAATGCAACATAATCAACAGGCTGTAGGAGGTGCTAAGGAGGTAACAGAGTGCATTGGTTGATTACTAAGAAACCATTTCTGTGCTTAAGCACTGGTAGGAAGAGTATAGTGTAGCATAGCAAACACGATTGAGAAAAAGCGAACCTTATAACAGTTGCATGTTCTCTGAATAAGATTGGGAGATAAATAAAGTGACATGCAGATATGTACATGCGAAACCAGGAAAGGCCAATACATTCAGCACATAAATCATACGTCTCTTTTTTATTTTCATTTTGACTCCCTCTTGATTGACATTTTGCAATGTGATACTAATTTTTTTAATATACTACAATGAGTAGGAATATATATCAACTGACTGCCCCACTTGGCCTGAGCTACAAACCTGCATGCAGTGTAAGATTTCAGAAGGAAAAACGTAGACATACCAAAACAGTAATTTACTGTAGGAAAGTTCATTTTAACCGGATCGCTAAGCCCAGTCTACACCCAAATCCAACCAACATTAAAAAACCAGATTACTAACCTGGTCCATTCATCTTTATAAAAAGGTTTTTGTTTTTTATTTTGTTTTCAAATGGATGGATGCCCAAGTATCTGGTCCAAATGACTAACATCTGATTCTGAATTCTTGCAAAACCTAATTCCCAAACTGCAATGCTTTCTGCCTCACCTTATTATTGGTTTTCTTCTGGATTCCTAATCTTCAATCTCATCTCATTGCTTTGCTTACTAGTGTTTATTTCTCTGATTCTCTCATTTTTTTGCACATTTGGATGTAGAGACATGTAGTAATCTTCAATTTTGTGAATCAGGTTTCTATTTTTTTATTTTCTCTTATTTGCTCCTAGGATCGCTTCGTACTTTTTTATATGTCTGCTCAGTGATGCTTTTGTTTCTCTCAGATTTGTTGTCATTTTCTTTGAGGATAGACTTGATGCGGCTTCCATTTTGAAAGGAACATAGCAAATTAATAGTTAACTTTGAGTTCCTGAGTTCAGGTTCATTTCCAAAGTACCTTCAATACATGAGGTAATATAATCTTTTTTTTTTTTTTTCGGTTAATAAGAGTCTATTCATATATGGTCTGAATCTGTTTACATCTATTTGAAGTGGGTTTTATTTAGCATGCCCCAGCAAATTTTTGTTTGTATCATAGGTACACTGGAACTTGTGTGAACCCTACTGAAAAGGGGAGGTAAACAAAAAGTAAGTGATATACAAGATTTGGTGATAGTATCTTATGCCCCCTTAAAGTAACTTAATCTGATGATGATTAGGTTGTACATTTATAACAATATGCTTTGGTGCAGTCAAGGGAAAATTCAGGGTCCCTAATAATGTTTGCAGTATTGATAGATTGCAATGATTTGTGTCTTTTCCTTTTTACTGTTTCTGTTTCTCTCTGTAGATTGCAAGCTTTGTCCGGAGTAATCTCTCTTTTTCCTGTTTGCAGCATAGACAGATCTAAGGAATATATTTGAAAACTAAGGACCGAGCAGAGGACCCCAGAAATGTTATAGTAGGCAGTTGTCATATCTCTCACTCATTAAATATTCTACTAAAATCAATATTTTCCTTCAAATTGGACTTGCCAACTGAACCTGCAGTTTCATTTGTTTTATTTTGGTAATGCCCCCAACTGAATCTGCAGTTTCGTTTGATGAATCTGATGACACAGTGTGTCTCTTCATGTGCACATTTTTGTCATTTGTAGTTATGTCTTGAACAAGTGATAGTGTTGTAGCATGCTGACCAAACCGTTAGTCCTAGGCAATACCCCAGATTTGTTAAGTGTAGAAGCATCATCCTTTGAGAAACTGTTTTTCGTAAGTGTATGCTTGATAGTGATTCATTTGAGGATACAGTCCATTCCATTCGATTTGTAAATATATTAGAAAATACAGAAGAGGGAATTCTATGTAGGTCACGCAAAGGAGAACTGAATTTTTCATTTACTTGCTAATTCTAACCACACTTCGAGCATTTTTAAAATTAAAACGGAGGAAAACTATTACTAAACACTTCAAGACATCTCTTTTGTGCATGCTTTAAGCTTTGGTAGAATATCTACCATATACCAAGATACCAACTATAAAGTTTTTAAATAACCAAGGTATCAATTTTCTCATTTTCTATGGTTATCAATTTCATTCTTGCTAGTTTGTTAGTTCTGAAAGTATTTTATTACGTTACTAATGGGAATTCAAAGATTTCCATTTAATAGAATGAAGGGTCACAAAACATGTAAGCATTTCTTTTCACTGTACTAATGGTTATTTGGTTCTATATAGGAATTTTAATATGTTGGTGATATTTTATTTTGATTTCATTTATAGTTTTCAAGTGTAAACTTAATTGGATGTTTATTATGTTTTGGTTTGTTATTAATCGTGTGATGGAAAATTGATTTTAAATATCATATTGTAATTCATTGTGTCTAAAAATATTATATTATCAATATGACGTGTTGGTAATATTTATTTTAAGGAATGGGAATAATATCATCAGTAATAATATATTTTAGTAATAATTTACCAATTATGTAAATTATTAATTAAAAATATATATTAAAAATAGTTTTTTAAAATAATTTTTCATAATAGAATTTATAAGTTAAAAATAATTTGTTGTGGCAATAAATAATGTTGTCATTACTTTTAGAATAAGAAATTAATAAATTATCAATATTTGTGATGATACATTGTTATTGATATTTATCCATATTAGTGATTTTAATTTTTATCATAAGACATGGTTTCTTTTAGTGATTATAAATATTGTCAGAAAATTATCTTAATGACAAATTTGAAAGCTTTTAATGACAAATATTAAAGTCATAAATGTTGAAATTTCTTGTAGTGGTTACGAATAACTCCGAAGACTGAATTTTATTTAAGTTACATAATTTCCATCTCAATATATCCCATCTTGTAGGTGAACCTACAAGGAATTCAGCTATTGTAATTGATGCCACTATAAAATGTGTAAATAATTATAGCTTATTTAATGAAAAAAATATTAACGATAAATAAGTTTTGCTATTAAAAATTTACTTGTCAAAGGGGTGTGTGTGAATAAAATGATCGAAAAATAAGGGATCCTTGGCTTCAATTATCTTGGCTTGGCTGATTACGTATTTTAATAACAACTGAAAAAAAGGAAAAAAGATAGAAAGAGGAATGTGAATTCTCTACTTAAGAATCAGAAATGAGAATGAACACGTTGATGTCTTGTAGGTTTAGAATTTCCACATGAATGTGATAAACAATAAAACACGTCGTCAATAAGGCGAACTCATGACGCAATTTTAATTTTGCTTGTCTTGATTTCCCGAGAATTGGTTGATACTATGGTTTCCTATTTCAAAAAACAGGAAAAAGAAAACTACTCCAGTTACCATTTCCAACAATGTTACTCAAAGCTTTCAGAGCAGAAAAAGAAAATTAAAATTAAAAAAAAACTTAACTGCATTAGGTTAATACCACTTCTGGCTTAACAGAAGAGCGTTTAGAAATGGAAACCTTCATCACTATGTCATCACCATTGTTGAGGCCCTGGAACAAGCAAGCATCTCCTTTTTCTAAATTGTTTTCCCTTGCAAATGCTGACCAATTTGCTGAAAAGTAGCTCGTTGATTTATTTTGGTAATGGATCAAAGTAACCGTCCAAGATTTATTCCCAACCAGCAGCATAACATTTTGTACACCAGGTTTGATGTAGCCCTTTAGTGACCCCTTTGGCAGATACTGCATTTTTCACACGACTCAAAATTTAATTCATGAGATTGGACACAGATTACATGATTGTTTTTGTTTGGGAACATACCAAGCTTTTCCTATTTAGGTGGCATGATTTTATTATCATTGTGAAGGAAGTATCGCGTGCAGCTTCACGAGCTACACATTTACTAATAGCTGACCTTTCAGTATGCAGATCAATGTTTCTCTTCATTTCATTTGAATTCTTCAACCTTCCTAAAAGAGGGAAACTAATTAAACACAAGCAAAGCTAAATTATTTATACGATTTTTTTAATCTCAGATCTTAAGATTGAGTTTAAATATCTAAAAGTATTGGAAAGGTAAGTATGCAATACATTTCTGTATCTACAATGTAATAATATCTTTCTTTTTAATAAAAAAAATTATTTTTTTTAAATGTTTAGACTCAACTTTAATGGTTAACAAAACCGTTATTTGTATGCTTCTAAGGTTTTCATTTGATAATTGAAAAAAAAAAAAAACACTTGGAATATAGAACCATGCCTTTGTAGTCTCTGAATGTTTGATGAAAAGCAGTGCCTTGTAAATTGGAATTTCTCTCGTCTCTGTTATTTCCATTTGTTTTCCGTGTCTTATGTGGTTGAATTTCTTCACTGTTGCTAGCCCTTTTACGATTTACCTTGTTCACAGGATAGTCTATTTCCATGGTGCTCATATCAAAGATGAGAACATGAAAATGGGATGTTCCATCATATCTGAAAACCAAAAAGTGCCCATGGGCTAAAGAGTGACACTCCACAAACTCTTTCCACCCTTTTTCAAACCAAACATTACCCTCACGTTTCTCCAAATTTACTTTCCATTCTGTACCGTTTGAAAGCTTAAGAAACATTGTGTTGGATAAGTGTTCTCCATATTTTCTCACAAACTTTGCTGGAATTCTCTGTCATGCAGATTCAGATTAATAAATGTAAAGCACGTATTAAAATGCTCAATTTTTGGCAATATGCAACAATAAAACTTACACCACACTGATTTGATAATTTAGTCACTAACTGCATGAATGTTAAGAATTTAGCATAATTTTGGAGAGTAGCAAGTAAGGTGAAAAGATACAAGAAAGTGTGATCTTGGAAAAGGAACCATATACACTTACAAGCTTTCCGTGCAAAAGGGTATCTGGGAGAATGATCCTGAAAAAGTGGGTTGGCTTTGATGTAGTATTGCCATGGGAGCCATCTCCGTGGCTAAGTCCAGAAGTCATTCTCAGCGTCCAATAGTGAGTTACACAAATGAGCTTTTAATTTGGATTGTGGTCTGTAGTTAGTGCTATTTATGCTTGCTTCATTGGGAACTGCCAAAACCTAGAGTTATGAGAAACTACGTTAGAAACAAAAATAATTGCTCTCTTTCGGTTTTACTAGTTTTTAATTTTTTAAAATTATTTTTAAAATACTTTTAAAAAATGAAAATAAAATTTAAAAAACTGATTTTACAAACAAAAGACAAACAGACTAAATTTTTGAGATAGAATCTTCCTAACTGAAAGGTAATTATGTTATGCTATTCTTACAACTTCCTATATCTTACAATATTTTTATAGCAAATATTAAGAGGACCGTTTACTAAATTAAAAAAAAATATTAACTATATATATATATATATATATATATATATATATATATTTATCACACCATCTATTTTATTACATACTTTTCTTTCTTTTTTCTTGGTTCTATCCATGTCTAACCTAATATAAATTGATGCTTTAAAATATAGTTACATTAATAACTACTAAAAATAGCTATCATTTATTATTTTTTTTCACTTACTAAATAATGTAGGTTTGTGGACTTTTAAATATTTTATTATAAAGTTTTTTTTTCGGGGTTTCAATTTTATGGATAATTTTGCTAAAAAAAAAAAAGATTCAAGAGATGAGAGATATTGCATTTGCAAGTTGAACTACAGTAGTTGCACGCAAGAATCATAGGATCATGACTTATTTGGGTCCAATTAGATTCATTAGAGACCATTTCAAATAGTATTAATATTAATCAAAGGAAATTGAATAGGATGTTTATCATCTTCCCTCCTATTTGGAACTTTTGTTTCATTTTGTAATTTTTTTAGAAACTTATGTATACATTTTTTTCTTTTTTCTCTTATTTTCTAAACCTTTCATCTTATTTGTTCTTCTCTCATCTTCTTATTTTCTTTTGCATTTTTAGATCTAAATCATGGAAGGCTAAAAGTTTGAAGATCAATTCTCCAATTCAAAATCAAAAATTGAAATTTGAGGTTTTGATTTCAATTATATCTCTATTTCTTCTCAATTATGTTATTAGATTTTGTATTGCATGTTTTATGATCTTCAAATTTAATTTCTATTCTTAATGCACACTTAACAAGAACTCTTAATCATAATCATAGTATTGTTTAATTTTACATATTAGATCAAAGATTTAAAATCATATTTAAATTTGTTTCAATTTTGTGTATGAGATTGAATGAAATTGAGTTAGTGATAATTAAATTAAGATTAAAAAATACTTAATTGATTAACTAAAATTCAGTAAACATTAAGATTAAAAAATTGTTGAATTGCTTAGTTTTTAAATTATTATTTTTAATAACAGGACTTAAGTTAACTTATATATTATTGCATTAATTTTGCATAATCTTTTGACTTAAGGCGATTTTAATCGATGCTTCATGTGGTCCTCTTTGCACGTAAATAACTATGGTAAATAATTTTTAGTTGTCTTTTTCACAATAAATAAATGTTACTCCAATATTCTTAAATATATAATTATTTTTTATCTTATCATTTCTTGTGTAACTTATCCACTTTAACGTTTTAATTTATATCACTCAATTTTTTTTTATTATTCCAATCACAAATAACAAACATATAAAATAAAATATTCAATATAACAAAGAAAAAATTCTTCCAAAAGTTTGTAAAACTTTTTATGTTAAAATATCTTTTAAAATTAAGTGAAAAATGAACTTTTAAATTTTTTGTGAAAAAAAAACCTATGAACAAGAATGACTAAAAGCATGTACTTGCATAGGACTTATTAAAACATACGAGTGAAATGGCAAATAATTTAACGAGTGTGTTCTTTTTTTTTGAAATGGAAAATTAAACATATAATTATATGATTGTTCTGATTTTAATATATATTATAAATTAAAAAATATTAATAATAAATAATTTTTCATATTAAATAAAACTAAATTAAAGAGATAAAATTTAAAAATTTTAAAAATAAATTATTAAAAATTTAAATTAAAAATAAATTAAAAGAAAATAATAAATAATTAATGTAGAATGAAGGTAGAAGTAGATTAATCTGAGTTAGACTCCAAAATTAAAGGATTGAGCTTGACTTATTTACTAAATATTGGGTTGTCTTTTGTTAAAAAAATTATATACTTTGTAATAAAATCTTTTAAATAGATTAAAAAACTGCCTTTAAATAGGTTAGTTAACCCAAATTTACATATAAATTAGTAAGTTATTTTTGTATATTTATGAGTATTATTAAATTAAAATAAATTTATAAAAATAATAATTAAAGACATATGATATATATTTGGATTTTTTTACTTTTTAAAAGTTTTTTAAAAATTAATTATTAAAATAATATTATTTTAAACAAAATTTTCATTTCTAGCTTTTTCTGCCACCAGATGGTTAGTTTTGCACCTTTGAAATTTTTTTTTAGAGTTTTACACGTTAAAAAGATGAAAATTATTTTTTTTAGAGTTTTACACAATAGAGAGAAAAAATTTTATTAAAAAGTTTCATATATTAGAGACACAAAATTCAAGATATCATAACATGTGTTAGAATCTTAAATAGTTTCATCCTTTAGACATTAAAAGTATTTTTTATTTAAATTCACAACAAAACTAATACACAAAGGTTTCAAATACGAGAACTAGTGTTGTGAATAGTTTGTCCTCTTCCTTAAAAATTCTAATTGTGAAATTCACAACAAAACTAATGTATAAAGGTTTTAAATACAAGAACTAGTATTGTGAATAATTTGTCTTTTTCCTTGAAAATTTTAACTAATTAATTTCATTAGTTTTATTGCATGTATAAAGAATAAGTTTATATATATAAAAAAAAGTAATAGTGGTCTAGGGATTCCTTTATATCTTTGACAAATACTACTTATGAAAGAAAAAGATATAGATGCATAGTCAAATGGGACTGAGCACTTACCATTCACTGCACACACAATAATCTATTATATTAAATATAAATATCTTAGATATTTTGAAGTAGTCACTTATAGAGCAAAATAGAATATATACTCTCTACTCTTTACTTGGAGAGTCGTTCTATATATAATTGTTTAGAGAACAATTGTAATACAATCACTTTCTAATATTCACTTACAAACCACTTTCGAATATAATTGTTCTTTAAAATGACTTTAAAGAGCGATTATTTTAAAGAGCAATTATGTATCAATCTCTTTCACAAACAAATTTAAAATTTACCCTAAAAGCTTCTATCTTAGAAATAATGCACACAAAAATGAGGGGTCATTGCGTTGTTGAACTCACAATTAGGAGAGTGACATCCATGATTGTATAGTGGATTAGCATTTAACATGATGAATGATTAGTAGTATCTATGGATTTCATTCCAGACATGGTGATGAGGATCCAACGATAAATCCGGACATAGTAGTAGTTGAGTTTAAGAAAAGTTATGCGATAATGAGAATGGGTAAACCCCCACATTAGTCCCTGAAATATGCAACTCGAGTTAGTCTTCAAAATTTGAAATTTAAAATTTTAGCCTTTCAAATTAACAATCATCAGTCACATTAGTTCTTGCCTAAGATACACTAAAATTGAGTAAGGAGTTAAAAATTTGTCACATTAAATGATACATGACTATTTATTTTTAACACAAAATAATGTCGTTTTAAAATCTTTTAAAAATAGTTTATTTTTATTCTTGACTTTTAACATTTCGAGCAATAAGGTCCCTCATCATCTGTGACACTTAGAAATGATTTTGTTCAAAATTGCTTTCTAAGTACATCTAACTTTGCATAACAACACTAGTTAGAGTGATTTGAGCTACCACTCTCTAAGACAAAGCAAAACTGATTTTTAATATAGTTTACTTTTTTATATCATGATTGGTAATGACTTCTATAATGCAAAGGACTACAAGCTTTTGCATTTGGGAGCCTTTATGTACATTGGATTTTTTTAAAAAAAAAGTAGTCATTAAGTAGAAATTTATGTCCTTCTTCATGATTGCATTTCATGTGAGTTCTTTAATGCATATTTCTAGTGGAAGAATTAGTTTGATGTTGCATATCCCTTTCAAGTATTAGCCTTGTCTATTCTTTTTTAGTATTGTTATTCATGAAATTTTGTATGATTTGTCACTCAACTTTTTTTTTATAGAGTTAAGGGAATTTATTTGAATGATATTTTGAGTTTTAACTTGAGAAAAGGAGGAGAGGATAAGATGATGGCACAAATAAATAGGGTAAAAGTGAAGATTATAAATAATACTTTTATTAATGACTAGTTTTAAATATGCCTATTTTCATAGTTTTACTAATGACTAGCTTTACTAATGGTTTAGTTTTAAAAAATAACTATTTAGCTAAACATAAATATCTATCCTTTATTAAAGTGAGTTAAGCTCTATTGATACTAGGTCTGGTAAATTTTTAGAGAAATTTTTATTAAATAAAAAAGTCAGTATAAGAAATAAATGAAACTTCTTTCATAAATTAGAAACAATTTATCTTAAATTTTATAAAAATTAAATGAGACAACTTCTCAAAAAATAAAAAAGTATAAATTATTTCTAATTAATGAAAAAAGTTTTCTTATTATTTTTTCTATAAAAATTTCTCTAAAAATTTACTCAAAACTACACGTAAATATCAAACTTAAGCACTTGTCTATTTTAATAACTTTTTATAGAATGTAATATTGATCAATCTAAATGTTAATTTGAAGGTTTTTATCAAATAAATTATTTTTATAAAATTTTATGCAAAACAAAAATGTCAAAATTTTTAATGGATAATATACTTTTAAAATATAAATAAATATTAAATTTTATATAACTGACCTACAAATATCTAAATTATGTGATCGTAAAGATAATATATAATAATTTATTGGTTGAATTAATAAATGAATGTAACTCATTTAAAATACTTGGCTAAACAATTTATCTTAATATAAAATGTCCATATCATAACTAATTAACTAAATATAAATATTCCTATTTAATTTAAAATAATCATAATATAACTAATTGGGTAATTGGATCATCTAATTATTTTAAATTATATCTCATAGTCTCGACATTCTCTCTGTCAGACATGTTTCTAGAAAACATCTCAAACTCTTCAAATGCATTGGTTTATCATTTTATATCATTTATTTCTTCTTTTGCAGCGGCTCTTGTTGATCATTCACATGAGCCAATTCTGCCATCATAGTCATTTTCTCTTTCAATGTATATTACATAGCACTCGGCATTCAGAATAGAAGTTTCATCCACTTTTCCTTTTGCCTTATTTTTTCGACATTTTGGGTTCCTTATCAATGGATGCATGCCGCTGATGCCCATCAGCGTTCAACGCAAGATGGTGGGGTTAATTTGGTTGTGATGGAAAGGGAACTTAGTATATATGGGTATGACTATGACATCAGGTTCATTGGAGATTGATAATTTTGCCTAATAATTCAAGTTAATATGAATGAAAGACTGGAGCCAAGAGAGAACATATTATTCATTAGTTTTTAAAATTTTAATGAATAATCACAACCTTTAAATGTTATTCAATGCTCCTTTAAATTTAAAATTATTACAAAAATAAATTGAAATATAAATAAATTATAAATTAATTAAACTAATTTACGGTACCTGTGAAAAGTATCAGATACTCTGAAAAGGAGGATCACCATAGCAAGTATAAAAAAAAATATTTATAAAAGTAAAAAGTGAAACATCTATTTTAATTTATAATAAAGTAAAAAGTAAATATTTATAATAATTTTAATAACTATTTTTTATTTTAATTTTAACGTTGACGTTCAAATTCATTGCATTCAAATTTTTAATGTTTTTCAACATGAGTGTACAGAAGCCGGTGACTGATTAGCCATTGATAAGATTAGACGAACATGTTAATGATGAGTCACGTTGTCAAAGTTCCCTATACAGGTTAAGGGATGATATATCGCGAAGATCGGATCTACTTATCAACATAAATTAAATATGCGAAACTTGTGGAGTAACTGATCAAAATTCAACAATTGTGATTGCAAACAAATAGGAATAGCCGTCATATTCTAATAGGTCATTCGATAGGATTATTGAGAGTGAGAATTGTAATCTTGATAACTGATTAGCACGTTCTGAATAATGTGAAATAACCCACCTATTTTATCGGAAGAAGAAAACAACTTAGTGATTCAAAATACTCACCATTTGCAACAACGTTACTTAATGCTTTCAAGGTAATCAAAGCAAATTAAAAATGAAAAGGAAAAAAAAAAAGACTTAAATGTATCAGGTTAGTGGCCACTTATGGCTTAACAGAGGAGAGTTTAATTGGAAATGGAAACCTTCATCACCATGTCACCCCTACTCTCCAGGAGTTGAAATAAGCAAGTATCTCCTTTTTTTAAATGGTTTTCCCTAGCAAAAGTTGACCAATGTGCAGTAAAATAACTAGTTGATTTATCTTGGTAATGAATCAAATTAACCCTCCATGATTTATCCCTAACCAGCAGGGTGACATTTTGTCCACCAGGTTTGATGTAGCCCTTCAGTGACCCCTTTGGCAGATACTGCATCAGAGGCATTTTTCACCTGTCTCAGATTTTAATTCAGAAGTAAGATACAAAAATCAAATGATTTGTTTGTTAGATATCATACCATGTACTTATTTAAGTGGCTTGATTTTATCATCACAGTAAAGGAAGTGTTGCCAGCAGCATCATGAGTTCTACGATTACTAATGGATGACCCTTCAGTGTGTTTTTTGAACCTACCTAAAGACACAAATTTTTTGAATATAAGAAAAGGTAAATAAATTCTTTATATAGGCTTCTACGTTTTAACACAAAAAAATTAAATACGCTTGGAATCTAGAATCATGCCTTTGCAGTCTCTGAATTTTTTATGAAAGGCTTCCTTCAATTTGGAATCACTCTCATTTTTTATATTTCCATTGGTTTTCTGTGTCTTGCGTGGTTGAATTTCTTCTCTTTTGCTGGCCCTTTTATGAGACTTGTTGACAGGGTAGTCTATTTCCATTGTACTGAGATCCAAGATGAGTACATGAAAATGGGATGCTCCATCATATCTGAAAACCAAAAAGTTCCCATGGGCTAGAGAGTGATACTCCACAAACTCTTTCCACCCTTTTTGAAACCAAACACTACCATCACTTTTCTCCAAATTTACTTTCCATTCTGCACCATTTGGAAGCTTAAGAAACATTGTGTTGGGTAAATGTTTTTCATATTTCCTCACAAACCTTACTGGAAGCCTCTGTTGTTCAGATCCAGACAAAGAAAATAAATGTGTCAACAGATTCTAATTTTGGCTATATGCATCAATAAACTTCACCATGCCCATTTGACAATTTAGTTATTATTTTCATGAATGTTAAGAATGTAGCATTATTTTGATGACTAGTAGCATGAAGGGTGAATACAGATCAGTAAAAAGGAAGCATTAATGCTTACTAGCTTTTCTTGCATAATAAGATTGTCACGGTGGATGATCCTGAAGAAGTGGATTGGCTTTGATGCACCATCGTCACAGCCATCTCCATGGTGAAGTTTAGAAGTCATTCCTAGAGTCCAACAGCGCACACAAGAAAAGAATTGAGCTTTTTGGTTGCGATCCGGATTCTTTAGTCAATGGAGTCCGCAAAAATAGTGCTATTTATGTTTGCTTTATGCTTTATTAACTGAGAGCTACCAAAAAGATGAGAGTATAGGAAACTGAATCAAGAAGCATTAATGGGCTTTCTGATTGAATTTTAATATGTTTTGTTTTTAAAATGTTTGAAATAATTAAAGAGAAAAGTTTTTTAAAAAGAAGAAAAAATGTTAGTTAAATAATTAGAAACTTTTTCTTCAACTTCCGCACAGCATTATCTCACTAAACCCACTCAAAAAACAGTTTTGCCTTTTGAGCACATCTTAACTTTTTTTTTTTCCCGGTTTTTAAAAATAGAAATTTGAAGCTTTTTTCTAACACACTAAACTAAAACAAAATTTATCCTTTTTCAAAGATAAGAAACATTTTTAAAAACACATTTAAAAAATAAGCCCATTGATTTTTTGGGAAAGAGTCTTGCTAAAAGTTAGTCAATGCATATTAATAGCAGTAACATTATTTTAGTTATTTCATAGTAATAACGGTTCAAAGATGAATTTACCCTTTAGATTAGATTACTTGTAGAAATGAACTTTAGCCATTTCAATTTTTAGTTGTGTAAAATATAATCAAAAGGAAAAATAAAAAAATGATCAAGAATAAAAGAACAAAATTTCTTGATATTCTAACAATCAACCTCCTTGCTTCATGCAAGTATATATAAAAGATTTAAGGTTTCAAAATGGTACTTCATTGCAAAAATGAAATACATGTGTCGTTTTACAATTTATTTGACTTCACAACATACATATATTTTGTTAAAAGTCTCGTAACTTTATTCAGAATTATTTATACTTTCATCAAAACAATTGTATAAAACCACGGTTTGTGAGTGAGCCTCCAACAAATTTTCACCATTTGGGCTGATTAAGAGGTAATTTGTGATTGAGTGCATGTAGCTTGCAAATGGAACAAGCTATCCACAAATTCTGTAATGTTTTTATGAGAACTTCCACCCTCACTAACAGCAGCAGTAGCCAAATTCTTCCATTGCATGGCATTTCTCTTCATCTCTTTGCCTCCTTCACCCTCCATTATTTCCCTTATGCAATGCTTCAATGCTTCTCGACTCACATTTTTTTCATCAACTGGAGCTTTGATTCCCATCTTCCAGACATCTACAATATGCTTAGCATTAGTACTTTGGTCTGCCTCATGTGGGATTGCAACCAATGGAACTCCTAAGCTTAAAGCTTCTAATGTGGAGTTCCAACCACAATGTGTTACAAAACACCCTATAGCCTTGTGGGCCAAAACTTTAAGCTGAGAGCACCATGTTACTACCAAGCCCTTCTCTGAATTCTTTGCAAAGGTTTTAGGAATCTTAGTCTCTTCAGAAGCTCTAACAACCCACAAGAAGTAACTTCCACTATCTCTCAAACCATAAGCCAACTCTTCCATTTGCTCCTCACTTAGTACTGCCATACTCCCAAAAGAAACATAAACAACAATCCCTTTTGGCTTATCATCTAGCCATTTCATGCATTCTTCACTTGTAAATTGTGTAACACCATAATCTTCATCATCTTTGGTTTGTTTGTCTAAAAACATAGATGAAATTGATGGTCCTATAGTCCTAAAGTTGGGCCAAATCTTCATTGTCCAATCAGCCACCTACAAAAATTTTATTCAACAAATCAGTACCCGTTGAACAAACTGATTATTGAGGGAAAAAGAAACCTAGAATGTACCTAACTCAATTGATAAGATGTTATAATCACCATGTGGGCCTAAGCCCACAAAATGACAAAATGTTACAACCTAAGGGCGTTGACATTATGATAGGAACACACACAAACAGTAGAAATAGTGCAGGTAGCAATACTCGAGTTAAGTATTTTCTGAGAATGAAACTAGATATAACTAAATGCAAATTACAAGAGTAGGAATAGAGCACTAAGTAGTTCAAACACTCCAAAACCCAATAACTAAAACTTCCCTCCCCTAAACTCCTACCAATTACTCAATAAATACTAGCATAACAGAAAATACCAAAACTACTCCTAAAATATTTTCCATAACAAAAATTATTTAATCTACTCCTAAAATCTCTAACTCCTTAATCAGCTCCTAAAATCTCTCATTCATTTGAATTCTCCAAGTTAGTTACAACTAATTTTTTGTTTTCCTTGAACCTCTTCTTGTATAAACCTTTCCATAAAACTGATTCTTTCCATAGAGCTGATTCCTATCAATACCCCCTCTTTAAGTACTACCTTGTCCTCCAGGTGGAAATGAGGAAAATGTAACTGAATGTCAGTCACCCTTTCCCAAGTATTTTCAAACTCAGGTAAATCCTTGCCATTGAATCAGCACTTCGTCTTCTCCTTGGTCATTAGTGCATCCAGTTTTTCATGTCTCATTGCTTAAAAGATGTTTAAGTTCAGAAGTACAGTACCAACCTTTGCCTCAGTGCCTTACTGGAGAATGGGAGCTGAAGATTGAACCAACAAATGTCATATCAACTCGAGTTAATGACCAAGGAGAAGACGAAGTGCTGATTCAATGGCAAGATTTACCTGAGTTTGAAAATACTTGGGAAAGGGTGACTGACATTCAGTTATATTTTCCTCATTTCCACCTAAAGGACAAGGTAGTACTTAAAGAGGGGGTATTGATAGGAATCAGCTCTATGGAAAGAATCAGTTTTATGGAAAGGTTTATACAAGAAGAGGTTCAAGGAAAACAAAAAATTAGTTGTAACTAACTTGGAGAATTCAAATGAATGAGAGATTTTAGGAACTGATTAAGGAGTAAGAGATTTTAGGAGTAGATTAAATAATTTCTGTTATGGGAAATATTTTAGGAGTAGTTTTGGTATTTTCTGTTATGCTAGTATTTATTGAGTAATTGGTAGGAGTTTAGGGGAGGGAAGTTTTAGTTATTGGGCTTTGGAGTGTTTGAGTTACTTAGTGCTCTATTCCTACTCTTGTAATTTGCATTCAGTTATATCTAGTTTCATTCTCAGAAAATACTTAACTCGAATATTGCTACCTGCACTATTTTTAGGGGTGGTCAAAAAATCCAATTTCATAAATTCAATCCATAACCAATGTCAAATTGGTTTTAAAAATCTAGATCCATATTAAACCAATTTTTTTATTAACTATATTTGTATAACTAGTTTAGTGTCTAAATCTATTTTCTAAAATCAGATTTATTTTTAGTTATCCAAATCTATATATATGAAGCAACTTTTATATTTTTATTTACAAAATTTTGGCGTTATATTAATTTACAAAATTTTATTGTAACTATATTTTACTATTACTATTTTTTTATTAATCTTAATTCTTATAATTAAAATATTTAAAAATATTAAAATATAACAAATATTTTTAAATTAATTACTAATGTTATTTTTATATTTATGTTTATTTTTTAATTTTTAAAATATTATAACATAAAATTTTTATTATTATTTAAATTATTAATTTTTATTTTTATAGGTTTTAATTTAAATTTTTATTATAAACTCCATTTATTAAAAATAATAATAAATATTTTATATACTTCTATAAAATATAATATATTAATAAATATTGTGAAAATATTTTTGAAATGAACTATTTTAATGTAACATTTGTATAATAAATTAGTTTTACCTTAAAAATATAATTCACAAATATATTAAAAATTAATTTTGCGTTAAAAATTAAATTTAAAATTAGATTTAAAACTAATTCAACGTAAAACCAAATTTAAAACTAGTTTCAACAAAAACTAAATTTAAAACCAATTTTAAACTAAATTTAAATTTCAAAACTATTTTGAACCGATTAAAAAAATAAAATAAAATAGTTTAAAATTTAACTCATATAATTAATTTGTGTGATGGATAGATGATATAAAGTACAATATTTCTAAATATTTATTATTTTAATAAAATATAAAATTAAAAAATGCTATTAAAAAATTAAAATATATACAAATACTCTCTTAACATGTATTGTTAATGTAATGAGTTAGAGTACTATTTATATTCATATTTTATTTTTGATAAATGTTGATGCTTAACAAATATATATATATATATATATATATATATAATGTTATATTATTTATTTAAATATTTTAATACAATAATTTAATAATAATTAAAAAATAATTATGGTATATTTTTACCATATGTAAAAACGGTTTAAAACCGATTTTAAACCAAATTCAAAATTTAAAACTAAATTTAAACTAGTTTTAGAAAAATTAAAATGAATTGATTTATAATTCAAACCATATAATTAGATTTTAAATAGATTTAGATTAGTTTTTTGAAAATTCAATACATGAACATCCCTAACTATTTCTGCTGTTTGTGTGTTCCTATCACATTAAAATGTTAAAAGTAAAATAAACTAAAAGTAGAAAATGCAAATGTGGCAATTATGTGTATGTGTGTGACACAAGAATTCAGGAGCAAGTTACCTCTTTCTCCAGCTCGTAGAAGGAATTGCAGAGAATCCAATGTGCTTTATCAATGTTAGAAAACTGACCCACTAAGAAATCAAGAAAAGCAGGATCTTCAACATAGTTAAAGAAGAATGAAGGCATGTCCTCAAGGTGAAGTTGGGGTAGAGCAGGAAGGGAAATCTCTTGTTTTGTGAGGGGAGCTTGCAAGTTTCCCAAGTGGGCATGGTAGAATATACTATTTACAGCCATATTTTGAGTAAGAAAAACAACTCCAACTATTCCAAATACTTTTGCAACATCTAAGGCCCAAGGCATGAATGAATCATACATAAGGCAATCAATTGGGTTGCTTGATCTAGCAAATTTCTCGAGAAGCTCAACAAGAGTCTTTGGTCCCACTCGCCAAAATCGATCCAAATAGACCCTTAAGCTCTTTGCTTCACCGATCCTACCATTGTCAAAACCATCAGAAATTGTTTCAAGTTGAATGCCAGCTGGCAGTTTGTGCAAGTTCTTGCAAAAGCAAATGGTGGTGGCTAGTGTTACTCTCACTCCTTCATGTAGCATAAGCTTGGAGAATTGAAGCATGGGGTTGATGTGCCCTTGAGCTGGGTAGGCCAAGACCAGGCAATGCACTCTCTTGCCTTTGCTTTTCTTCTCCATTTCGCTGATATGCCTCAGTGTGTGTGGGTGGGGGAAGAGGTACTAATTAAACGAGAATATGCATGTGATCTTTGATTAAAGAACTTTGGTTTATTTTGTAGGCTTCTAAATAATGGGATTTTATAAATGGTGGTTGTAACTAGTGGTAGGGATAGCAATGGGTAAAGTATCTAATGAGCACCAGTAAAATTTATCCATAATGGGTAAAGTATTTATCTGCTATATGGGTACAGATATGGTGTGGGTAAAAACTCACAAATTTTAATGGAGATGGGTGCGAGTATAGGTATCTAAATACCCACCCCGCCCCATACTCTCATATATATATATATATATATATATTCTTGAACTTTATTCTACAATTATGCATTAAATTTTTGTATTATTATATTATTTATGTGAAGTTATATAAGATTAATATAAAAATATATTTAATAATAAAGTAAACCAAAAAATTTATTTTGGTTTATATTTTTAATAGAAAAATTTATTTACTATTTTATATCATTTAATTAGACTAATACAATTTAATTATTACATAGTTAATATGAGATTAACTTTTTTAAAAATATTATTTATATATGACACATATAAAATATTTTTCACACAAATATTTTTGTTAATAAAATCATATTGATGTTTAAATCATAAAGTGAATGATAAATAATAAATATATTGTAAATATTTTATAAATTTTACAATCACCTACTATTATCGTAAACTTATTATTTATTAATAATATTTAAATTTTATTTTTTATATTTTAATTTAAAATAATATTTTTCTATACAACATATGTACTACAAGCACAACTATAATCTATTGAATATAAATAATATTATTCTTACTATTTATTCACGTTCAAAGAAATTTTTGAAAATATATAAATATAAAAAATTATTGTTAATTTTTATTTGTTAATTTTTTCAGATAAAAAAGTATAATTTTTTTAATATATACGTATATTTCTTTATTATAAAATTTTATTGTGACCATATGTCTTTTATTCAAATTCTTTCTTTTAAAATTTATATACATTATAAATATTTAATTCATTAAAATAATTCTTCAAAAATTTGTATTTTTGATAAAATACTTTCGTATAGTATATGAGTTAAAAATACTAGTATTAATATATATATATATATATTAATTATATTATATTATTTCAATTAAATCTATTATTTTTCTTACAATTTTAAATTCAAAAGTTAAAAAAAAAAATTTATGTATCTACTTTCTATTGTTAGTATTGAACTTCTCTACTCTAACTCTATTCTCATTTTCAATGTCTGTCTCATTAAAACCTAACAGCTATAAAACATTATTCGTTAGAGTTAGTTGTCAATGTCGGTCACCAAATAATCCCACACGAAGGGACAACCATTGTGCAGATCTATTTCGTTGTCTCTTTGACATTGTCAATCGATCAAATCTCACACAAGATAAGGTTATCACTGACAAATAATTTATGTGTTTAGTTTTGCATATTATTTCTAAAAATTTTAGTTTAGAAAATTATTATATTAAGATACATTTAGCATTTATGATCTTTGAATATTTATTTTTTTATCTATGTTTGTACCTTATTCATGTTCAGTACCTACATATTAAATTTTTGTATTATTATGTTACGTATGTGAAGTTATATAAATATATTTTTCTTTATAAATATTTTTTTTTTAAACAAACGCGGGTAATGAGTACAAGATGGGTATGCGGGTACCCAGAAAGAACGAGTACAGGTACAGAGATTAATATTCATACCCACACGAGTATGGGGCTGGGTACGAATATTTTTTTAAAATACAGGTACGAGGATAGGTATAATAGTACCCTACCCATACCTACCCATTGCCATCCCATAGTGCGCTGGTATACATAGTTGTCAACGTAACCATATATTGGAGAAATTAAAGATTGATACAGACATTGAATGCTGCGTAGACATTGAATTGCTATCTAACACTCAAATTGAAAAATAGAATTATTTATTTATTTTCTGTGAGAAAGTCGCATGCTATTATTAATCAGATTCAACTATTTGGTTTCCAAAACATTTATTGAATTATCCAAGCTTTTTTATATTTAAAATTATTATTAAGGATAATATTGATAATATTAAAAGATAAAAAAAATTTCAAATGCTTTAAACTTTGGTTTACTACCAGAGCTAGAGTAATTTTTTTTATTGTTTGGCATTTAATTTTCTTCTATGATTAGAGATTTTACAAGATCTCTCAAAGTTTAAAAATACACGATTAATCTTTTTGTAATTATTATTAGTCTAATAAAATTTTCACATGATAAAATTTTAACACAAGGCCTCCTCCTAAATAGATTAACTCCGTACCTGTAAAGATTTATTATTTGATTATAAAAAATAATATTATATACAAATTTTTTAATATTAATATTTAGGTTGATTTTAAACTTATAAAAATAACAACTCTTTTATTAAACAATATTTATTATATTTTTTATGACTTAAACTATTATCAATAACTTATCGAAATTACAAAGTTAAGAATTAATTGTACTTACATATTTCAAACTATAATAAAACAATACCAAGTTAGTAAGTAAAGTATGCATTTTAAATTTAAATTTTACTTACATTTTAGATAAAGTTTTTCATTAAACTAACTTCAAATATTAGAGCTCTTTTGAATTTATTAAGCAATTGTCTCTCTCTCTCTCACACACACATAGAGAATATGATATTCACTTTACTTGCATTTTCACGAAGAGTCACATAATTTTTTTTATCTTGAATATAAATTGGTCTGTGCATTTCATGCAACACTGTAAAATTTTTCTTTCTTTATATAATAATTTCTCTGCTTGACTAGTGCTACTTAACACCTTTTGCTTATCAAGTTCATGCTAAATCCCAAATGAGGATCTGCAAATTAGTTTCCTTTCTCAAAATGTTGGTTTCATCAACACACAGAATAATTAAAATCTTAACTGTTATTACATCATTCAAATTTAACCAAAAATATCCAAATCAGTCCCCTCCTCTAAAAATAATAGCTGATAGGTTTCAAAAACAAAATAAAAATTAACAATTCGTTGAACATATAAAATAATTGTACTACAATGTTAAAATTTACTGCTTAAATTTAAAAAAATTATTTTTATCTATATTTTTTGTTATTAATAACAAAAACATGTCTTTATTTTCCTTTTATTTCATATATAATTTCACTAGTATGTAATAACAGGGAAGTCACTTACTGCAAGAGTAAGTATTGGATATTTACTTAGCTTAATGACTTTTATAAATAATAAATTTCATTGATTAAATTATTGAATTAAGAAATATTTTTTATATGTAATTAAAATCCCTTAAACCAACGTTTATATTAATGAAATTTGTTCATCCTATAGATGATTCTCAAGATATATTTTTTAGACTTTTAGTTTAAAATAATTTAGATATTCTGTAATTTAATTTCTTTAATTTTCTCTTTTAAAAAAAGATTAGTAAACTTTGTTATCCATAAAAAAATTATTACGCAGAACAAATCAACCAAAACTTATTTTTAAAATATGTCGATCCATTTTTATCTCTTATATATTTATTTATATTTTATGTGAATTGAAAAATATTCATGTAAACGTTGAGAACTTACTAGATAAAATTTAAATTAACAGTTTGATAACTTTTAGTATACACGAGGGACAACTTACCAAGTTTTTTAAACTTATAGCTTATATGCTATATGATAATGTTTATATTTAATTAGTTAAAATATTATTTTGATCTTTACATTTTAGTAAGTTTTTAATTTAGTTCTTTTAAATTTTGTTAGTTTTTATTTTTCATGAATTTTTATTTTTAGTTTTTATTACTAATTTGTTACCAAATGTCAGTTGTAACATCCTTTTATTTATCTATTTTTTTTTTATAATTGTTGGTTTTATATGACATTTTAAATTGATTGAATGAGTGTTTATTAGAGTTTTAGTGGAAAGAATCTTGCTCAAGCAAGGCAGGTCTTGCTTAAGCGAGACTGAGCACCTAAAATCATATTTTTTAGGGCAATCTCACTCAAGTGAAAATGAGATAAATTCAGCCTAACTGTCACCTTGTCTAGGCGAGAAGAATCTTGCTTAAGCGATTGGATCTCTGTCTGATACAATGCTCATGAATACTTCATATTGATTGGAATAAAGTGAGCGGTCTTGGTCAAGCGATCCACAATCACCCAAACTACATCATGATTGCTCTTGGTTCTCGGTAGACCAGATACGAAATTCATGGAGATACTACCCCACTTTCATTCAGGGATTTCCAACAGTTGCAATTCTTGTGGCTAATGCTCTGCTTTTGACTTCCGATAGGTTAGATAGTTTGCGACATATTCTGTTATCTCCTTCTTCATTCCATACCACCAAAAGTTTTTTCCGTAGATCTTGATACATCTTTGTTGTACCAGATGAAAACTCAGCTTGTTCTTATGTGCTTCCTCCAATATCATTTACTTCAACTCTACATCTTGGAAAATACACACCCGATCCTTGAATCTTATTAGTCCACTCACATCGTGACAAAACTCTACGAGTTCTTTCCCCTATTCTTTTGTCTTATCACTTCTTGTAAGAACAAATCCTTTTATTGTGCTGCTTGAATGTGGGTCAAAAAGTCATTGGTCATCTTCAAAGTTTCAAGGTACAAATTCTGAGGTTGTACTTCCACTGCCAAATTCAAATCTCTAAACTTTTCAATTAACTTCCACTCCTCTATCATCATAGCTGAAACATGCAAAGATTTCTTGCTTAGCACGTCTGTCACTACGTTGGCCTTTCCAAGATGGTATGACAACATGAAGTCATAATCTTTTAAAAATTCTATCCGTCATCTCTATCTCATATTCAGCTCCTTCTGATCGAACAAATACCTCAAGCTCTTATAGTCACTAAAGACTTCAAATCTTGTTCCGAAGAGATAATGTCTCCATACTTTCAATGCAAAAACCATAGTTGCTAACTCCAAGTCATACGTAGGGTAATTGACTTCATGGGGACGCAACTGTCTTGAAGCATAAGTGACT